CCCTCCCCAGGCTTCTGGTTTGGGGATACATACTGCCCCCTCGTGGCCATTCTAGGAAAAGTACCATCTTCAGGTGGTTGCGGCATTCTCTACGTTAGGACATAGTGTATAAACTTCCATCCCACCTGTCCTGATCTGCCAGACAGTGCAGTATCAGCGACTCCAAGATAAACTGTGTGAGCTGTCCCTGTCCTGTGTATGTAGTGGAGGACACAGGTTTTGGAGTCTGGCCTTACAGGAATTTCAGATTCCCAATTATTCATCGCCTGATCTTGGGCAAGTGACCTAACTTCAAACTTTAGTTTCCCCATTGGTAAAAAGGAGATAGTAATATGTAGTTCAGGGGCACCTGGGTTATGCCGTTGGTTGAGAATCTAACTTTTGGTTTCGGCTTAGGTCATGATCTCAGGGTCGTGGGATTGAGCTCTGTGTTGAGCTCAGTGCGGAGTCTGCTTGAGATTCTCTCTCTCTCCCACCACTTGCATGCATGTTTTCTCTCTAAAATAAACAAATGGCTCTCCAAATATATATATGGATGCCTGCCTCAGCTGCTTAAGCATCTGCCTTTGGCTCAGGTCATGATCCCAAGATCCTGGGATTGAGTCCTGCATTGGGCTCCTTGCTCCGTGAGGAGCCTGCTTCTCCTTCTGCCTGCCAATCCTCCTGCTTGTGCTCTGACAAATAAAATCTTTTAAAAAATTTAAAAAAAAATATATATATACTTTAAGGGTCTTTGAGGAATAGATGATCACAGTGCTTGGTGCATATTAAGTGCTCAAAAGTTATTACCCACTATCAGAAGAGATTCTTGGGCAATTTGGGGTGCTGCATACTTTGGACTCTCTCACCCTTGCATCAAGCCTGGGGTGACTGAAAGGCCCAGCTCTTGCCAGAGCAGCTTCACAACTGCTCTGTTCCTTCCCCCCAAGCAAGCTATCTTCTGAGACGGTCCTGGGATGGACTGGAGGCTTGATTGCGCTAAGATGCCACATGACACTGGAGACTCTCCCAGCCTCTCAGATCCTACCATTGCCCTTCTAGTGGGTTGGGACGACACACGGGCAGGAACTATTACTGATGTCACAGATGGGAAACCAATGCCCAGACACTGGAAGCTAACTGCCCACGGTTCTCAGAGTGAGTTGAGGCAGCCAATCAGGCATCCTAGCAGTTTGGCTGGCTTATATTCAGCCAGGTCTCCCAAAAGGGTATGCCTAAGAAGAGTACCCACATAAAGCCTGAGGCTGAGGGTAGCCTGGGCCACTGGGAAGGACTCCCAAGGGAATTCTGTTTGGGGAACACAGTTTCCCTTTCCTTGAGGACTCAGACACTTCCTGACCTAGAGGCAGTTCTAGGCTGTGAGACCTGAAGCCTGGATTCCAGTCTTGGCCTGGCTCACAGAGGGACGCCATGGAGCCTTGTCCCTTCTGGGCTAGACCTTTGTAGCCTGAGGGGTTGGGCTAGCTTAGAGCTCTCTCTGGGGACTTGTGGGCTCTAAAAAGCCATGAGAGATTGTCTGGGATACCCGTGCTAACATCATGTAGGGAGCTTGGAAAGAAAATTTGCTATGGATATGGCAGGGCATATGGGAGGATTAATAAAGAAGAAAGATCTGTGAAGGTGACCAGGCATTCACACCCCAATTTCAGAAAGAAGGCAACACTAGCAGGCTCCCCATTAAGAGAACAAGGTCTCCAGGCTTTCAGGCATGAAGCAAGAAGGCTAATACCATGCTGGAAGGATCCCCTCCCCCAAACCTTAATCATAGGACCCACTGTTTGAGACTTTGAACCTCTCCCACAGGACTGATATTCTTTCTTCCCCTCCCATGGTCTGTTCTCTGGCCTGTCCAGGACAGGATCCAGAGCTGCTTCACACAGACCCTGAGATCAGGAGGGCTGCTTTCATCTCCAAGCCTGAAGACAACCTCCCACTGCACCTCAGACTGGCACCACCGCTAAAAGGAGACAGCCCTGCTGGACAAGCCAGAGGGAATTCTAGAGATAAGAACTTGGGTCTCTGAAAAGCTCTGGCCCCATAAGTAATCTCCTGCTGAAGGAGGATAGGGCTGAAAGGGGAAGGGATGCTATCACCTGATTCTCAGGGAACAATAATGTGGGGTCATGGTGCCCACGGGATTCCTCCACAAATGGCTCCTTTTAGTCCACTCACGTAAAGTCTTGCCAAGGCCACTACTCAGTGGAGAATCCGCCAAACCCTGAGAAGCAGCTTCCCCTTGCTGAGGAAGTCTGGGGCCCCTTTAGTGACCCTAGGGGTGTTAGCTCCCTGCTGTCCCCAAGCATCCAATCTCCTGAATCTCTTCTCTTTGCAGAGCTAACCCCCCACCAACCTCATCTTTCACTTGGATCACTCCCTATAGCTCTCGGCTGGGTCTCTTGCCTCCAAGTTAATCTTCCAATTCCTTCTTTACACTCTGCCGAGAAACTGCTCTAGAAGGGGGTGGGCAAACTAAGATCCTTGGCCAAATCCAGCTTGCTGCCTGTTTTTATACAACCCATGAGCTAAGAATGGTTTTTACATTTTTTAATAGCTGGAAAAAATATTATTTTGTGACACATAAAAATTGTATGAGATTCTAATTTCAGTATCTGTAAAAATAAGGTGTTGCTGGGACAGTCATGCTCATTTGCTTATGTATTGTCTGTGGCCACTTTCACAGCATGATGGCAGAGTTGGATAGCTTCAACAGAAACTCTAAGACTCACAAAGCCTAAAATATTTGCTGTCTGGACCTTTACAGGAAACATTTGCTGATTGCTACTCTGGATCAAAAATCCAGTCATGCCATTCTCTGCTTAGGACCCTCCAGTGGCTCCTTGTGGTTTTCCACAGCTGACCACTTCCTTCCTACCTGTCCAACCTCATCACATGTCCTTCCAGTTGTCTGTCCACTCTGGACAACTAACCCTTCCTCAACTCCACCACAAACCAGATCCCTGGGCTTGTCTTATGCTATTTACCCTTTCTTGCCCTGCTTCTCTTCTCCTAATAGCAGTCTACCATCATTAAGACTCAGCCCAAATGTTTCCTCCTGTTTCCCTTCTCCCAACCATGAAAGCGATCCCATATCCTACCATGCCACAGGAAATTCCTCTCATCGCTCTACTCAGCTTTTAATAACAGACTATGGACTCATTTGTGCCAGACCAACTAATTCTATTATAATTATTTGTCCAGTTATGTGTCCTCTGCTGGCTCACTATGAAAGAACAGGCCACAGCCCTAGCATAGGGCTGTATGGGGTAGGCATATACACATTCACCGGAAGGGGCCTGTTTAGCATTCTGTACCTTAACTTGGCTAATAGTATGAAGGAAGAAGATGCTTATGTATTTTCCAGATATTAAGTATCTTTTTTCTTTTTAAAGAGAGGGAGAGGGAGGGAGACAGGAAGAGGTGGGTGGAGGAGGGGCAGAAGGAGAGGAAGAGACAGAATCTTAAAGCAACCTCCATGCCCAATATAGAGCTCAATCTCACAACCCTGAGATCATGACCTGAACTGAAATTAAGTCAGAAGCTTAATGGACTGAGCTAACCAGATGCCCCTCATTTTTTCAAAAAAATAAATTCTTGAACTTGAACTCATGACCCCAAGATTAAGAGTCAGATGCTCTGCCAGCTGAGCCAGTTAGGTGCCCCCAAGTATCATTTATATAAACTTTCAGCATTCATGACAGATCAGGAATCTACATGTATTGCAACTCATTTAATCCTTACGAGGCAGGTGATACCTCCATTCCACCAAGTGGCAAGCTATGTATGTGGCAGAGCTGGCAACTAGAATCAGTCTCCTGCCTCCTGAATTCTGAGATGTTCTCCATGAGCAGTTCATCCACTGAACCACTGCTTCAAAGATGTAACAGATGCTCATGGGCTTCCTGATGTCTTCACGGCCACTGACCCTGTGCTAAATGAGTCCAGAGAGAAGTGGTTTTTAGTTTTCCATCTCTTCCCTCCAGTTGCTTCTTCTTGCTCCTGTACCTGCTGCCTCTCAAGGTAGACTATCTGGGTCAGGATCAAAGAGTGACCCTGCTCTTCCTATGAAAACCAAGTGCCCGTTTCGTGATGTCACTTCTGAAATCTGTTGCTCTGGGGCTCAGGCTTGCTCTGGACAAAGAAGTTGTTGGAAGTCTGGCCTCCAAGCCGAAGGGGTGCCAAGGCAGAGATGATCAAACTAATGTTAACTGTCAATGCACCTGCCTTAACAAAGACTCAAGAATATCTCCAGAGGGCTGCTGGGAAAAGTCCTGGACCGTCCACATACTTCTATGATTATTTAAACCGAAGTTCAGAGCTCGGAGACAAGGAGAGCCAGGACAGCTGCTCCTGGCCTGGGAGAAAGCAACACAGGAAAGGTCAATCCACCTGAAACCCTTTCTCAACCAAAAAGGAGTTAGGGCTAACTGGTCAGTACACAGAGGCCACAGTGTGAACCAGGCAGGAGGAGCGTGCTCTCTGTCCTCTACCATCATGGCATATCCAGCTAAACTGTCACAGGATAGGCCCAGTGATGTAGTATGAGCCACACCCCTGAGCTCCAGAAAATGGGAATTCTATAAAGCACCCTGACTCCTTTCCTAGGTCTAGAACTGATGGCATTAAGAACCCCTAAGATAAATTCAGCCAGACAGACCTATGAGAGTTTTTGGTTAAAGACTCAGATATGATAGCGGGGTTTAACACAACACGTGTGATTCTGGATGCATCTGGTATTTTGGACTAAGAAGTTCACTTGTGCTCTTCCGAAGATTGTGATCAGTTTGGATTAATCCAAAAAGTGAGGCGCAGCTGATGTTGCATTTTTAAGAAGAGTATGGAGAATTGGGACAACTGAGTCTATGACTAAATACCACTTTTAGGCTAAAATTCTGGTTTGTTCAAATCAAACCCAATGTTCCCCCAGCCCTCTGAGCAATCACAGTGATGGTGGAGGCTCTGCAAACACATAACCGAATCACCAGTGACCATCTAGTCAGAGATCTGGCCGTACTGAAACACTTTATACACACAGAATAGAGGACAAGGAGATTTCTGACACACTCATGCTTTGGACGTATCAGTACAAGACAGTATATGAGACTGTGTGTGAGTCCACCAGGCAGTTAACTGGGAACAAGCATGATTTATCTGCTGGCAAACAAGTCTCCATCACACCTAATCATTCTTTTATCTAAGTGCATCTTGATCTTCTCAGTCCTGGACATCAAAGTAGTCAATTACTGGTTCCTTGGCTATTTTCTGTAAATTACTGCTTGCAGGATTTCTGAAAAGCAAACAAAGAATAATCAATCTTTTCTTGTTTGGGGGAAATAGACTGAAGCCTACAGAAAGTTAAGGAACAGCTGATTTACCATTTGCAAAGCTTTGATAAGACAGTGGGGCCCACCTGAGCAGGGAACTGTTTAAAATTTGGTGATAGGCACACAGGGGTTCACTTTATTAACACTATTTCTCTACTCTGAGAAGTTTTCCACAATAAAGTTTTATACTAAAATAAAGCAAACAAAGGGGGAAAAAAGCATGGCATGAACAGGCCAAAGATCCCACATGGTTATGATGAGGTGGTACTGGGCACAGCTGTGGAACATCATGTGGAATACCTTCATGTTTCCCAAACCACTGCCCATGTGGATATGGAGCTAAGCTGACTAGAATCCATGCCGTCTGCTCTCCAGGGGTGAAGCAGGGCTGGTTCTGGGGAACTACGTTAATCCAGACAATCCCTGCCAAGGTTATACCCAGTGGGCAACACCTAGCTGTCCTGTCCGGTCTTCGGGAACACAGACTGCCAAGGCCACCATGGTGACCCTGTAAAACTGCCCTTTCCACCCTCCCAGAGGTTTTGTATAAGAGGTTCTGGTAGGGCTGCTGTGCGGAAGGCCAGAACAGCATTAGGGGACCCTGCCTGGTTTCAGAGCAACTTTCGGCAATGCTGCCTCAGTCACAATAAGGGAAAAAGGGATGGTGCTCCATCCCTGCTCCTGAAACCTGCTGCTTGCCAATGTGGTTTTCTTTTCTCTTTAAATTATGAATACATTTTTTTAAAAGATTTTATTTATTTGATAGACAGATATTACAAGTAGTCAGAGAGGCAGGCAGGGAGAGAGGAGGAAGCAGGCTCCCTGCTGAGCAGAGAGCCCGATATGGGGCTCGATCCCAGGACCCTGAGACTGTGACCTGAGCTGAAGGCAGAGGCTTTAACCCACTGAGCCACCCAGGTGCCCCTGAATACATGTTTTTGTTGTAAAAATTATTCAAACCATATAGACGACAGATCAAAACACAAAAGTATCCACTTTCACTGCAACCCTGACCCACTATCTGACTTTCACCTCCAGAATAACTTTGTGAACCATGTCATGTTCCTAAATCCTCTGGTGTGACAGAATGAATCCACTTCCCAGTGTCACCACCTACATCACAGAAGTTATGTCCAGTGATTTTTCCCCAGAGGGGAAGTGGGCACTATGAATATCGAACTTGGGAGCTCTCTGGCATGAACAAATGTCTGACATTCCAGTCAAACCTGACTTATTTGAACCAAGCACCCCAAGGTCAGGTCTGAGAGGCAGCCAATGGCTAGTGGAGTTCCAGACAGTACAGCCCCTCCTGTCTCCTCTGAATACAGGGCCTTTGGAAAGCAGCTGAAGGATTCTTACTTGTCGGTCTGATGTCTGTGGTGAGGAATTGGTGGTGGAGGCCGTGACTGCATTTCCCTTTCAAGGACACCTGTCAGCGTGGTAGGAGGACAAATAGACTTCCCTCTGATAAAAGTCAGAACACAAAGTATTGAAAAGTGAGAATTGTTTGTGGAGATAGGCAGACCACTGGAAATCCAGTCATGACTTTCAAATGTGCTGCTGCTGAGTGCTCTGATGTGACCCATCTCCCTTCAGGCATGGTCACCTTCATTTAACCCTCATCCTTCCACCCGCCTCTCCCTGAGCCTGTTATCTGCTCCCTCTGGTCCCGCGCTTAAGTTTTCTTCATTGGTAAGGACCTACTCTGTCAAGTTCTGACAGTGATCCTAGATCCTCTCTATCACTTCCCAGCTCACACTACAGCCTTAGTTTCCTCTAATGGCAAACACTGTTTATGGGGGATGCCCTGAATCAGAGTCCAGAATTTTTTGTTTTCATCATGCCAGAAGGACAAGGGAAAAAGGGATAGATAGATGTGATGGCCAGGCACTCCACCCAGGCCCTTAGGGTCTGTTCCCTGTGCCTGGCAAAATGCTACCTCCAGTGTTGCTCATAAATTGGGCAGACAAGAAGCTTGAATGTCTTTAGGCATGTCTTTCCTGTGGACTGAAACATGGGCTTTGCTCTCTGTTTCAGACCTTTATTTTTTTTGTTTTTTGTTATTTTTTAGAGATTTTATTTATTTGACAGAGAGCATGCACAAGCAGGCAGAGTAGTAGGCAGAGGGAGAGGGAGAAGCAGGCTCCCCACTGAGCAAGGAGCCCAACGCGGGGCTCAATCCTAGGACCCTGGGATAATGACCTGAGCCGAAGGCAGTTGCTTAACTGACTGAGCCACCCAGGTGCTCCCTGGCTCAGACCTTTAGATCAGACCTTTTGATCATGGCAGAAAGGCTAGCCCAGAAGCAGATTTTCTACCTATTCTTCTAGGAGAGGAAGTAAGGCAAGCAAATATTGATAGACCTTGCTTCCGAGGTCCAGTTTGCTGCAATGAGCAGTTCCTCTTGTGATAGAAAGATCAACCCACCTGACTGCAGTGACCACGACATTGCGCTTTGGTTCACTGTCATAGCTCACGCTCTCCAGGCCATACACTTGGGCCAGGTCATGGATGATCCGGCGATGGTCTCTGTTCATGGGAGGGAAGCAGTGGCTCTTCTTACTATTCTTTCCCTGTATTGAGGGAAAAGATGACGGATTGAAAAATCATCCTGAAAACAGAATATACTTACAAAGGTCCTTCCCACCACACCAAAACAGCTGGGCTGACAAAGAGGTGGATGAGTTTTAGAGCATAGAGTATTCTGCTGGCTGCTAAGCAAGCCAAGGAGTTTGGGAGGATGAGGTCTGATGCACTTCCTTTATCTATTCTGTGAGTCACAACAGTAGCAGCTGGCTAGGACTAGGGATCAGGGGAAGTGAAAAGAACCTAAGAGGACAGTATAATGGTTCCTCCTAATGGGCTGGTAACTGGGGAGTAAGTGATATACCAAAGAAATGACTAAATAAATTGAAGACATAAAACCAGACAGTCTCATTTCTTATAAAAATACGTTCTACGCTAAAAATTTTTAATGTGCAGATACACTGGAAAGCAGGGAAATACATTAGTGTATGTTTGCTAGTTAGGAGAGGAACAATGATTCCATTTTCTTCTTCATGTCAGTATCCCAGGAAATGGGAACAGAAGGAAGGGAGAGAGGAAGGGCAGGGGCTAAGGGAGATGACAGGAAGGAACTCCACCTCCATTAGATACGGAGCTAATACAGGCATCTCATCCTCACTCATAGCCTCCACAGAATAAAGAGAGCGCCACCCTGGGGTTGGCTGCTTCTGACTAAATTCGAGACTTTTCTCCTTAGAGCTACCTCCAGGACAAGGGCTTCACTATCTTGAGGGAGTCTATCTCACTACTCTTCAGCTCTAGTCATTCAACTTTTGATCTTTACCCAAGGGCTTTTAGCCTGCCTTGGAGGTAATAAAGAACAAGTGTGCCCTCTCATACAATAGCCCCTCAGAGATCAAGTCTTCCTAAGTAACCCACAGTCATTCAGCTGTCACTACTAAATGCCCCCTGTTGTCCAGAGCTTCTTCACCCAATCTTAGCCACTGAGCTAAGATTTTTTTATTTATGCTGAATTTGATCGAGAATATCTTTGCTGAACCAGGACAAGGCTTCCATGGATGTTATAATGGCTGGGCTTTTGGGGAAGACAGGGATCGTCAAGAAGTTGTGATTTTTTCCTATAACTACTCTACACTGATGGTGTTTCTGGGACTTGATTTTTTATCAAGCTGGCCTTAGAGACATGTCCAGTTGGATGTTTTGACTTCAACCTTATTCACGGCCTCCACAAGGGCTTCCATTTCTTTTTCAATGTCACTGACAAACTTTAAATCCTTCCTGAAATGAGAAATCATCACAGTTAATTTCATTTGTTTCTGCTGTTTGAGAATCCCTTCCACCCACATTCTCTGCCCATAATCTGCAGACAATGAACAATGTGGGCAGAAAAATGGCAAAGGGCAAGAACTGTCAGATAACAGAAGGCTGACTGTGACTAACAAAGGAAGAGAAAAAGAGAAAACAAGTATGGGAGAGGAGAAGACAGAAGGAGAAAGAGCTGTCTGAAAGGCCAGGAGACAGGAGGAAAATAAGAGCTGTTACTGCCCAAGTGAGGGCCCATGTTGGCAGCCCATCACTCAGTTCAGGCTAGTCCAACTGGGCCCTAGGCAGGCCCAAATTTCTACTACAAGGTCCACACACCCACAGCCCCCAAAACCCATGCACAATTCTTCAAGGGGACAATTGTGAGAAACCAAGAAAGGATTTTTATTAAACATCATAATCACTTATATGTATAAACTTCAACTGGCTCAATCACAGAGGAGTACTTATTAGTTACTACAACTTAAAAGAGCAAACACTCTTGCAAACCACACTTAAGAGAGCTGGTAACAGGGGAGCTTAAGTGGCTCAGTTGTTTAAGCGTTTGCCTTTGCCTCAGGTCATGATCCCAGGGTCTTAGGATCAAGCCCCACATCGGGCTCCCTCATCAGCAGGAAGCCTGTTTCTCCCTCTCCATTCCCCTCGCTGTCTCTCTCCGTCAAATACATAAATAAAATCTTAAAAAGCAAGCAAGCAAGCAAGCAAGCTGGTAACAAGTTACATACCTGGCATCCTCTTTTAAACTGTCACTGAATTTTGACCCTGAAGAACGTACATTGAAAGGATCAGAATCCTCACTAATATGAAACGCCTCTGCTAACCGCCTGAAAATAAGAGAGAAGTAAGTAAATAAAAGGAAAAGGGCAAGAAAAAAATTTTTTTTAAAGATTTTATTTATTTATTTGACAGAGAGAGATCACAAGTAGAGATGCAGGCAGAGAGAGAGGGGGAAGCAGGCTCCCCGCTGAGCAGAGAGAACCCGATGCGGGGCTCGATCCCAGGACCCTGAGACCATAACCTGAGCCGAAGGCAGAGGCCTTAACCCACTAAGCCACCCAGGTGCCCCAAGAAAACTTTTTAAAGTAACACAAGAGAGCCCACCATGTCTTAAGTTCTTAATGTACTAATGACTCCATTTCAGCAAACATAATTACTAAGGACAGAATAGCAACAACTTGGGAGAAGATATGATTTTGTCTTCCTAGAAGAAAATAAACAAGACAAATCTATGTGGGTCTGAGTGAACCAAATGGGCTGATACTGGCAACTTGGGTTATCTGGTGAAGAGAAGGGGGGCAGAAAATGAGAGCACTGGGAGTGCAGTGGGGCATGGCAGTCTCTGAGGTTTCACCTAAACATCACATACATACATACGTAAGGTAGACATGTACACATTAAAACTAGAATCATCTTACAGAAAATGTGGTAAATAAAGAGAAGAATTCCATTAACAACCTACGCACAAAATTTTAGTACACTTCCTTTCAGATTTTTTTTCCTTTAAGTCATTGCAATTAGTGTTTATAAAACTTGGCATCTGGGGCACTTGGTTGGCCCAGTCAGTGAAGCATGTGACTTGTGATATCTGGGTTATAAGTTCAAGTCCCACAATGGGTGTAGAGATTACTTAAAATAAAATCTCAGGGCGCCTGGATGGCTCAGTCAGATGGGCATCTGCCTTCAGCTCAGGTTGTGGTCTTGGGATCGAGTCCCGTGTCAGGCTCCCTGCTTGGTGGGGAGCCTGCTTCTCCCTCTGCCTCTGCCCTTGCTTGTGCTCTCTCTTTATCACTCTCAAATAAATAAATAAATCTTAAAAAAGAAATAAAATCTTAAAGGAACACAACTAAAAAATCCCAATTTGGCACCTTTTTTTCACCTATCATTATATGATTGGCATTTCTCATATTACATTTGTTTTTCACATTTACTGTTTTAATAGGTGCATAATCTAATTATGTATTTACCAGAATTTACCTAAACATTCCCTAGTTTATTTAATAGTTCCCCAGTTTCTGAATATTTTAAGTGACATGATATCACTGGGCAAAAAACTTTTAGGGTTATTTCTCTGGAAAATATTTCCAGGTGTGGGATTACTAGATAAGATGGTCAGACTCATGAGCAACACAGTCTGAGAGCTTTCCGCAGCTGCCCATTTGTGTTTTGACTGCCAGTGAACAAATCTCACGGGATCTCAGCAATATCCAGTTATGTCTTTCTTTTGTAAAGAGAGATAAAATTCAGGTTAGCACTTAGTACAATTTTTGTTTACACTGAAATAGGGGTCGCTTGCAAGTTTAATGCCCATACATATGAAATCTGATTTAAGCTTAATTTTAAAATTTTCAAGAGAAATTTTTTTGAGAGTTTTGATGTTTTGATTAGTTAGTCAAGAATTAAAATTTAAACACCAATAAAACCTATCTGTGGGCTGAATTTGGCCTGCCAGTTTTTCATTTCTGCAACAGAATATATGTTTGCAACTTGAGATGGTATTTTTTTTAAGACTTAATTTTTTAATTTTTATTTTTTTGAAGATTTTATTTATTGATTTGACAGAGAGAGAGAGCACAAGTAGGGAGCACCAGGCAGAAGGGAGAGGGAGAAGCAAGCAGCCGATGCAGGGCTCAATCCCAGGACCCTGAGATCATGAACTGAGGTGAAGGCAGATGCTTCACTGACTGAGCCACCCAGGTGCCCCTAAGATTTTTAATTTTTTTTTTTAAAGATTTCATTTATTTATTTGACAGAGAGATCACAAGTAAGCAGAGCAGCAGGCAGAGAGAGAGGGGGAAGCAGGCACCCTGTTGAGCAGAGAGCCCGATGCGGGGCTTGATCCCAGGACCCTGAGACCATGACCTGAGCCAAAGGCAGAGCCTTAACCCACTGAATCACCCAGGCACCCCAAGATTTTTAATTTTTTTTTTAAGATTTTATTTATTTATTTGACCAATCTCAAGTAAGCAGAGAGGGAGGAAGCAGGCTCCCTGCCGAGAAGATAGCCCGATGCAGGGCTCGATCCCAGGACCCTGAGAACATGTCCTGAGCCGAAGGCAGAGGCTTTAACCCACTGAGCCACCCAGGTGCCCCAGATTTTATTTATTTATTTGACAGAGACAGACACAGAGAGAGAAGGAACAGAAGCAGAGGGAGCGGAAGAGGGAGAAGCAGGCTTCCTCCTGAGCAGGGAGTCCGGTGTGGGCCTTGATCCCAGGACCCTGGGATCATGACCTGAGCCGAAGGCAGCTGCTTAACAACTGAGCCACCCAGGTGCCCAAGATTTTTAATTTTTAAAAAATAATCTCTACACCCAACATGGGGCTCAAATTCGTAACACTGAGATCAAGAGTCGCATGCTCTACTGATGGAGCCAGTCGGGCACCCCATATATTTTTTTAAATTGGCATTTCTTTTTCTCCTAGGTCAGTGGGTATTAAGAAAGAATCTCTATATAGTGAGGACCATCATAGGTCATCACTCTAAAATGGAGGAGAAATTCAAAAACAGAGAGCCAGTTATTTTTCTTAAAAAGATTTTATTTATTTATTTGAGAGAGAGAGAGGCAGAGAGAAAGCACAAGTTGGGGAGAGGGAGAGGCAGGCTCCCTGGATCCCAATGTGGGGCATGATCCCAGGACCCTGGGATCATGACCTAAGCCTAAGGCAGACGCTTAACTGATTGAGCCACCCAGGCACCCTGAGAGAGCCAGCTATAATCAATAACTAAATTTACTGAGGATAACTAATAACTAATTTAATCCTCACAACAACTGTGGAAGGTACATATTGTCACTGTTTCCACAGATTTTTAAGAAAATTAAAGCTTCAAAAGAGAACATGTCTTGCCGAAGGTTACATAGCTAAGTGATTTGTGAAGGCAGGATTCAAATTCAGGCAATCCGACTGTGGTCTACTATATAAACTGTCTCTCAACTACACAAAGGTGCATTTCTACGCTTTAGTAACCTTCTGTGTATTCACTACAGCCATTTCTGAATACTCATGACTCAGTTCATATTTTTTAACTGAGAACACTTTGACTGATGGTTCCTAAAGGTCAAGAGTTTGAACAGCAGTTATTACAGAGTTCACCAGAAGGGTCAAACCAAGGGAAATTTGGGCAGCACCATTATTTATTATATACTTCCTATGCATTTAGCCATTTAAAGAGGTACTGTTAACAATAGTGGAAAGTCAAATTTCAAGATAAAACAGGACTGTACTTTGTCTGCACTTGTTTTTGTTTAACAAAATATGAGAATATGAGAAATTTTCATATTTGAGAAATTTTCAAAGTGACAAAGTATTATTTTATAATAATAAAACCATCATAAATTCAAAATACTTAAAGTCAAAAATGCATTTAATACATTTAACCTACCAAACATCATGGCTTGGCCTAGTCTACCTTAAAAGTCCTCAGAACATTTACCTTAGGTTACAGTTGGGCAAAAAATCATCTTACATAAAGCTCATTTATTTTTTAAGATTTTATTTATTTATTTGAGAGAGAGAGAGTGTGTGTGCTCATGCAAATTTGAGAGTAGGGACAGAGGGAGAGGGAGATAGTCTCAAGCCGACTCCCCACTCAGTGCAGAGCCTGACATGGGGCTCAACCTCACGACCCTGAGATCATGACTTGAGCTGAAACCAAGAGTCAGACACTCAACTGACTGAGCCACCCAGGCACCCCACAAAGCCTATTTTATAATTAAGTGCTGAACATCTAATGTAATTTACTGAACACTGTACGGAAAGTGAAAAACATGATGGCTATATGGGTACAGAATGGCTGTGAGTGGATGGGTTGTTTACCCTTGTGATTGCATGGATGACTGGGAGCTGTAGTTTGCTGTCACTGCCCAGGGTCATAAGAGAGCACTATACTGTATATTGCTAGCCTGAGAAAAGATCAAAATTCAAAATTTGAGGCATGGTTTCTACTAAACGTATATTGCTTTTGTACCACTGTGAATCTGAAAAATCGTTAAGTCACTATAAGTTGGGGACTGTCTGTATACCAGTTCACCTAAATTCTCCAACTGTTAACATTTAGAGGGCTATACCTTTTAATCAATCTCTGTTAGAACCAGGAAGTCCGCTGGTCACTGAATAAATGCCCCTTAATCTAATAAAGAACATCCTCAAATGACTAACAGAAAACATCATATTTAGTGGTGAAATATTCAAAGCTGTCTGATATCAGTAATGTCTATTATCACTACCTCCTACTCAACACTGTACTGGAGGCTCTAGCCAGTGCAAAAAGGCAAGAAAAAGAAAAAAGTTAAGAACTGTAAAGAAATAAAACTACTATTATTGGAGGAGGGCATGAAATAGTAAGTGAATTTAGCAAGGTTGTGAATACAGGTCTATAAACACCAATTCTATTTCTATAGAGCAGCAATAGGCAATTAGAAAATTAGTTTTTTTTAAGAAAATTAAATTTTAAAAGTGATACAGGAAGGGAGAGGAAAGGAGGTAGCTGAGCAAAAAGAAAAAAGAAGTGATACAAGAAAAATTACCATTTAAAAAAGTGTCAAAGAATATCAAATAGCAAGGAACAAATCTACTGCAAGTTGTACAAAATCTGTATACAGAAAACTATAGAGTATTGTTGAGAGAAATCAAGGAATACAGGAATAATTGGAAGGATATACTTTGCTTATGGATTAAGAGACTTAACACTATAAAAACGTCAAATCTTCCCCAACTGATCTATAAATGAAATGCCAATTCAATAAAAATCTTAGTAGTTTTTTTGGGCAGATATTGATAAGCTAACTCTAAAGTTTAAAAGGAAAAGCAAATGTTCATGAATAGCCAAGTTAATCTAGAAGAAGAACCATGCTTGAAGAGACATACTATTAGATATTAAGACCTTTATTGTTATAAAGGTACAACAACTAAGAGTGTGTGATACTAGTGTGATGGAGGATAAGGAGTTCAGCAATAGTATGAATATGTGATTTAAGACAAATGGCACTGGGGCGCCTGGGTGGCTCAGTGGGTTAAAGCCTCTGTCTTTGGCTCAGGTCATGATCCCAGGGTCCTGATATCGAGCCCCGCATCAGGCTCTCTGTTCAGTGGGGAGCCTGCTTCCCCTGCTCTTTCTGTTTGCCTCTCTGCTTACTTGTGATCTCCATCTGTCAAATAAATAAACTATTTAAAAAAAAAAGACAAATGGCATTGGAAAGACTGGGAAAAGGACATCTTGATGATAGTATTGGTCACATGAATATGTATATGGAAGAAAACTGAATTGTGAACTCTCCTTAGACCATGCTCAAAAAAATCAGTCAACTGTAGCTCTAAATTTGACAGGTAAAATGATACAGCTTTGAGACAATAACAGAGTATCATCATGACCTCAGGATAGACATGTTTACTTCTTAAACAGGACATAAAAAACATCAGTCTCTAAGGAAAAGACTAATAAACTGGACTACATTAAAATTAGAAACTTCTGCTTATGAAGAGAAACCATTAAGAGAGTGAAAATTGAAAGCATGAAGTACAGGAAAATATACTATATAAAACCAGCAAAGGATTCACATCCAAAATATATAAAGAACTCCTACTAATCAATATAAAAAAGAGAACACAATTACAAAATAAGCAAAAGAGCTGAATAGGTACTTCACAAAAAGGGATATCCAAATTGCAATAAACATATAAAAAAGTATTCAACCTTATTAGTCATCAGGGAAATAGAAACTAAAAGCTCAATGATATCTGGGTATACATTCACAAGAATAGATTAAAATTAAAAAGACTAACAATTCTAACAGCTAATAAAAGTGTAGAGCAATGGGAACTATTACCCTGGTGGTGGGAGTATAATGTGACACAATCATTTTGGATACTGTTGCATAGAGCTGACTAAAGTTGAACGTATGAATACCCTGTTAAATCAGTAATTCTACTCCTAAGTTTATAACTAACAGAAATGAGTATGTATATACAGCAAAGGGAACATACGGATATTCTTAACAGAGCATTATTTGTAACAGCCCAATATTTTTAACAGCCCATTATTTGTAACAGCCCAACCACACACGTATCTATTAATGGCAGAATGATAAATTATATTATCTTAATACAATAAAATATCATGGAGGAATTCAAATGAACAAAGTATTGCTACATGCAACAAGAGGAATATCACAAATGTCATAAAAGCCAGACAAAAATGCAAACTGTAAGATTTCATCATTTATATAAAGTTCAAAATAGACAAAACTAATCCAAAGTGTTAGAAGTCAGGATAGACATTTTAACTTGGTGAAGTATATGAAAGTATTCTGGTAATTTTCTATTTCTTGACCTGGGTGCTGATTACACCACTGTATTTACTTTGTGATGACTCACTGATCTGTACACTTCCACTCTTTCTATATGTATGTTATACTTTAACATAAAAGGTCATTAAAAAAAATTTTAAGCTTCTTATCTCCACTGGAATCAGGAAGTCTGCCAGTTAGTGAGTAAGTATGCTGTGGCATGTGATGTTTATACCATGCCCCAAACCAACAAGCCCATGTTCCAGAAATATGCTGAAATCACCTAAGTGCTTTATCCTTAGATACTTATATTTCAGTTCCTGATGATTGAATTTCTCCTGATCTCCAACAGCAGCAAAAGACTCAGAGCAGGTGCTGAGTGAATGCTTGAATGGTTGCTCCTTCCTATTAATTTCACAGAGCTCAAGAACAAGTAGATAAAAAGCAGGAAATGACTTACTTTTTCCTTTCCAAGGCTAAACACTCCTCGTCACACTCCAGCCTTGAGAAACAAATGAAACAGATAAAGTCAGGGCACAGATTTTCACAACTCCTACCCAGCAGTAAGTTCTTTGTCAACCTGGAAACAGAGCAGACTCTGGCCAAAAACATGGTTACATGAGGTCCCTCTCAAGAACAGGTTGGGGGGCCTCTGGGTTATTGGACCCGAATCTAGTAGGAGTCCTTAGAAGGGCCTCAAAGGGTCTCCAAAACACTCCTAATGACCCCGATAGTCCCACCTCTCCCCCCGCCACTTTTTAAAGATTTTATGTATTTATTTGACAGAGAGAGAGATCACAAGTAGGCAGAGAGGCAGGCAGAGAGAGGGGGGGGAAGCAGGCTCCCTGCTGAGGAGAAAGCCCGATGTGTGACTCGATCCCAGGACCCTGAGATCATGACCTGAGCGGAAGGCAGAGGCTCAACCCACTGAGCCCAGGCGTCCCCTACCTCCCTCTCTTGACACAGCTGGTTCTCTTGGGTTGGGCTGGACACATCTAGGTCTCTGCTCCCTCTGTTTGAAGAGAGGCCTAGAAAAGTCTCTTCTAGTCATAACTATATCCTGAGTAAGATTTGTGGCATTGGAGTGAGTGTGGTCTTTTAACATCAAATGTCTGTTGAAACACCTGTGTGTGCAAGGCTTTGCTGTGGGAGACAGACAAATGAATGGTTCCTGCCCTCTGGAAATTAATTCTTTTCCTTTCTTTTTTTTTTTTTTTAAAGATTTTATTTATTTATTTGACAGAGATCACAAGTAGGCAGAGAAGCAGGCAGAGAGGAGGGGGAAGCAGGCTCCCCGCTGAGCAGAGAGCCCAATGCGGGGCTTGATCCCAGGACCCTGAGATCCATGACCCAAGCCGAAGGCAGATGCTTAACCCACTGAGCCACCCAGGCGCCCCTGGAAATTAATTCTAACACAACACATACATTTTAAAAATTACCTGGCTTGGTGAATTTCCTTCTTAGTAATTAACTTGCTGATTTCCACTGAATCGCCAAGCTGCATGTCTGTTATTTTAGAGGCCATGGAAATAGCAGCTATTCTGAAGTATAAAAAAGAAAGGAAGAAAAGGCATTGCGGTTTCACAGGAATGTCCTAATACTAGGTATATAGAAGACTTCAAATCGAATCTATGCTGGACAATTTGTGGGCCTCAGAAACCTACGTACTATGAACTACCCACACGCTTCTGTCCTATCTCCTTAAATTCTAAGTAGCTCCATTAGAAGCAATGAGACAGTCTATTCAATCCCCCTTGCATAGCTAGGCCAATGCCTGGCATTCAGTCAGTATTCAAACCCACTAATGTCAGAGCCACTCTGATGTCTTCTTCTTACTCCAAAAATCCCATCTCCATGACACATCTCTGCATGTAATCAGAGACACACACAACCACCCATCCCTAACACCTTCATATCCTTACTGAGATCCCTTTCTGGCCACCCAGTCCCAGGATTTAAGGAAGCTGCAAAGACAATTCAGAGAATAGTCAGAAACCCCCACTACAGAGGAGGAGCACAGACTTTTCCTGGCTGTGCCACCACAAGTGGCAGGATGTTAAAGCAATTCATGAAACTTCAGGACATCTTCCCTTATGAACCCATGGCGTAATAAGACCAGAAGGGAAAGAGACAAAGAAAGAGGAGGAAAAAGAAAAAGGATATTTTACAAATGAAAGTTAGGGAAGGAAAGGGATACAAAGCAGTACTTTTTTCTTTGAACCAGAAAAACTAGATTCAGGAAATTTTATTTCATTAATTAATTATTTTTAGAAAAATTTATTTTAAAAAACTTTTCAGGGGGCACCCGAGTGGCTCAGTCAGTTAAGCATCTGATTCTTGATTTCGGCTCAGGCTGTGATCTCAGGGTCATGGGATTGAGCCCTGTGTTAGGCTCTGCACTCAGTGGTGAGTCTGCTTAAGATTTTCTCTCCCTGGGGTGCCTGGGTGGCTCAGAGGGTTAAGCCTCTGCCTTCAGCTCAGGTCATGATCTCAGGGTCCTGGGATTAAGCCCCGCATCAGGCTCTCTGCTCGGAAGGAAGCCTGCTTCCCCCTCTCTGCCTGCCTGCTTGTGATCTCTCACTCTCTCTCTGTCAAATAAATAAATAAAATCTTTAAAAAAAAAAAAAAGATTATCTCCCTCCACCTCTCCCACCACCCCCAGCTTGTGCACAAACTTTCTTTTCTATTAAAAAATATTTATTTATTTATTTGAGAGAGAGAGCTAAGGAGCACATAAGTGGGAGGGAGAAGGAGAGAGAATCTGAAGCAGACTCCACGCTGAGTGCAGAGCCTGACTGACTCAGGGCTCTATCCCATGACCACGAAATCATGATCTGAGCTGAAACCAAGAGTCAGATGCTTAACCGACTGAGCTAACCAGGCGCCCCTGCACAAGCTCTTTCTAAAAAAAAGAAAAAACTTTCCAAACTTGACAAAAGTTCCAAGGACTCCACAATAAACACATGTATACACATGTGTACCTTCTGTAAACTGAGATCCACCACTGTTAGTTAACATTTAAGTAGCACTAACCTTTGATAAGTACTGGAAGCTTCGGAGCAAATCATCATCTCTTTTCTTCGTCCACATTCACACTGCAGCTCTATCTGCAATAAGATTAACATGGAGGAACTTTTAGCACATGGAAACCATAGGAATAGGTAGGTTTCACTTTTATTTTTTTAGAAGATTTTATTTATTTATTTGAGAGAGAGAGAGAGAGACAGTGAGAGAGAGCGTGAGAGGGGAGAAGGTCAGAGGGAGAAGCAGGCTCTCCATGGAGCTGGGAGCCTGATGTGGGACTTGATCCCAGGACTCTGGGATCATGACCTGAGCTGAAGGCAGTTGCTTAACCAACTGAGCCACCCAAGCACCCAGCAGGTCTCACTTTTAAAGCCTCTCTCAAATCAAACCATGGCAGAGGATACAATGAGTGTCTACCCTTCAGGATGGAGGAAGCTAACCATGCATGCAAACTGATGTGGTAGTTGACACGCTAGGAGGGAGCGGTTCACTGTATGGTGACTCTTTCTGGGAATTACTACTGGCCTTACTTAACCCTACCTGAAGGGGCAGGCCTAGAATGAGGTTTTTACCACTGAACCTGGCCAGGACCACCCAAAGCCTAATCAAGTCCACCTCATCCGTCTGCTTTCATCTCCTCAGGGAGGCCTTGCTTAGATCCCTCAGAACAGAGTAAATTGCCCACTCCCATGTTCTTACAGCACCCTCTACAAAGGTGAAATTTCTTGTTCACCACAGTCATAATTCATTATCTGAGTAAGTAGGCAGTATCTGTCCCAACTCACGGAAGCGAGCATGTGTTTCCTGTTTACTGGTATAGCTCCAGCACCTAGCAAAACATCTTGCACAAAACACTTACATATTTGTTGAATAAACAGAGCAGGCAATCGGAGTCTCTCTTCAGAATCTGCTCTAAGGGAGAGAGACCAGGTCAAGTGGCAGTGGGTACCTCCTGAACTAAAAGGCCGTTTCAAGCTGGGCACAGAAATCTGTGTAATTTACTCCACCTTCCTCTTGCTAACTTAACTTGTGGTACCTTGCAATCAGTGACTTCTGACTAGAACGTGGGCCCAGGTGCCTCTGCAAGCAGTTCTGGACTCACTAGCAGCCCTAGAAGCACAGTCAACGCCCTACCTGGAGCCAGAAATACGTACCTTGGCTTTACAAGCAGTCATGGGGCAGGGTGAGCTGGGGTGGCAGGGTGCCATACACGGGTGGCCACAGTCAGCTCTGGGGGTGGTGCAGGGCTGCTTGCAGGCCTCGTCCACAAGACACTCGCCTTTGTGACAGAGTCTCTGACACTTGTGCATCCCACATGGTAGTGTGGCACTGCAGGGTAATCCGCAAGAGATATCAGCCAGGTGACAGGGGATGTTGCTTCGTAACTAGGAGAAACAGAAGTAGCCAGATTCTTATCTCCGTGTGGGATTTGAGAGGAGTTTTAACTTCGTATTTAAACATTTCTGAATTTTCAGAAAGTTACTTTTATCTGAAAAAAATTAGGCTGATATTCAAAATTTGAAAGGTTAGCTTGAAAATAAACAAATCTGAACCTTATTTAATAATACTTGTTATGATCCAAAAGAATTTGTGCTAGAAACCAAGTGTGACTTAAAACATACACTTCCCAGGGTGGGTAACAAGTACATGACACCAGGTAACTAGGGAGTATCTGAAAATGCTATGACCAACTGAGAGGATCAGATGATCCCCGCCCACTCCCACTCCCCCAACCCCCTCCCCCACAACTCTGCGCAAACAGCTAGGGCACTGAGCTGACACATGAACCCTGAGGGCTGGGGACACCCTTGACCCAAGGTTTCAAGACTGCTGGCAGGACCATTTTATATAAATACATCATCAACTCTCCTCACTTCTCTTGACTCATGGTCTCCATAGCTTTAAGCAGCTTTGTCACTTAAAAAATTAAGGGGCAACATGCCAAGAAACCCCAAACTCATTTTTTAAATCTTCCAGGATTCCTTCCTCCAGGAAAAAGATGCTGGAATTTTATTTCTGTGGGACCAAAGCTTACTCTTATACATTCACTCAAATTCTTTTGAGAACCCTCAAAATGAGGAATATACTTTGACTCTAGGGACACATACCTTTTACTCTTGAAGAGGCGTCCAAAGTCTAGGACATACATGCTTCTAATTGCTTTAGAACCATTTTAGAAGTATTTTGGTAGACTGTAGTTCCCAATTAATAAAAACCTACTTACACTATTGCCAGGGTCTAGAGATAATTTTTACACACGCTATATCCTCTGTTGTCCCCTCCCATCATTACTTGCCTACCTTCTCATTATCCTTTAGGAGGTCACTTCCTCTACAAACACCGTCCCTGGGTGTGGGATCCTTCCATCCTGCTCAGTACTTTGTACTTCCCCTGCCATTGCACTTATAATTGACTGTTTAAACACCTGCCTCCTGACCCACAGAGAAGGCTCTACAAGGGCAGGAGTCACACCTATCTTGTTTTCTTCTGAATCACTTGAACCAGGCCTGTTATACCTAGCACTTAATAGGTATGCAGTAAATATTTGTCATACGAAGTCCAAATGAGCCATCAACACAAAGATAATACATGGATGTGTTAGAATGGGTACTCTCAAAGGAAGTGAGATTTATAGAGACTTATAAGGACTATAAGATTTATAAGGACTATGACTTGAGAACCACTCACAGGAAATAATGGGAAAAAATATGTCCATCAAGATAAAGATACTGAAAGCATGTTGTCTTAGATATTAAGAGTTTCCAAAAGTGTTGACTAACATGTTATGAAGTAAAAAGGTTACAAATAGGGGCGCCTGGGTGACTCAGTGGGTTAAACATCTGCCTTTGGCTCAGGTCATGATTCCAGGGTCCTGGAATTGAGCCCTGCATTGGGGCTCTCTGCTCAGCAGGGAGCCTGCTTCCTCCTCTCTCTCTCTGCCTATCTCTCTGCCTACTTGTGATCTCTCCCTCTCTCTGTGTCAAATAAATAAATAAAATCTTAAAAAAAAAAAAAAGGTTACAAATAGTATAATCTTTTTTTTTTTTTTAAACGTAGGCTCCCTGGTGGGCATGGGTCTTGGAACTCACAACCCTGAGATCAAAACTTGAGCTGAGATCAAGAGTTGGGACACTTGAGCGAATGAGCCACCTAGATACCCCATAAAAACCGTATGAACTTAATAGAGTATGAGAAAGTGTGTGTCACATATGCCTGATAATCTAGGCATAAGAATGTTAAGAGTATTTCTTTCTGGACTGCAGAATTGTATATTCTTAATTGTCTACAGTGAATATGTGTTTTTTAAAATAAAGAATTTTTAAAAGTGCTTCCAAGGGTCTATAGTCAATGGTGCCAAATAAGCTTACAAGTTGAGAATGAGGATGAAAGTCCTTCATAGTAGTGGCATTGCAGAGGCATAGATGAACCTGGAGGAAGGTATTCTGATCCAGTGGCCAGGACAGGAAGCTGCACAGGGCATAGAGGAAGGAATAGCAGCAGGTGGTGGAGAGACCACCTCCACTCTCTGGGTGCTCTCACTGCTAACACCTTTACCCAGGCTAGCAACCTCTTCCATGCTAGTTAACCTAAAAGTTGTCTCTGAACACAGCCCACGTTCTCAAGGCCACTGACTTTCATTTGATTGTAACCAGAGTCAAAATGATAGCAAAGAGGCCTAAAATACTACCCACTGTATGATTTCATTTATGTGACATTCCAGAAAAGGCAAAACTACTGGAACAGACAGAACACTGGTTGCCAGGTCCTGGAGACAGAGAGCAAAATAACTACAGAGACATGAAGGAATATTTGGGGGTGAATGAACTATTCTACATCTTGACTGTGGTGGCAATTCCATGACTGTACTAAAGTTTTTGTCAAAATTCAAGGACCTGAACACTTAAAAGAGTAAATCTTCAGTTTAAGATTTGTTTATTTTAGGGAAAGAGACAGAGAGAGCAAGACCATGCAAGCGAGGGTAGGGGCAGTTGGCGGGTGGGGGAGAGAGAGAGAGAAGCAGACTCTATGCTGAGCGCGGAGCCTGACGCAAGGCTCGATCTCATGACCCTAAGAGATCATGACCTGAATTGAAACCAAGAACTGGACACTCAACTGAGCCACCTAGGGGTCCTGGATTCTTCTATTTCTTCAACCAGCATTTAGCCACAGTGTGGTGGTAGATAAATTTTATTTTGTGCAAATTATATCTTAATTTTAAAAAATAAAGAAAAAAGTGGCAAAAGCAAAACTCTACTTCTTGGAGTGTTTTTTACTTTGAGAAACAATAAGACTAACAATTCCAAAAGTAATTCAATCATAAATCTCTAACTGGAACAATAAACACTTGAGAAAACTTACCTCGTGTTTTCCCATGCACCATTTCTGAGTTAGGAAAGTACAAGGGGGACACTTCTCTTCACTATGACAAGAATGATACACTGTTAAAAGAGAAAGGAAATTAGGAATTATATTTAGGAATAATGTTCAAATAAAGCCACATAAACTGGGGCACCTCAGTGGCTCAATTGGTTAAGCATCTGACTTTGGCTCAGGTCATGATCTCAGGGTCCTGGGATTGAGGCCCACATCAGGCTTCCTGCTCAGTGGAGAGTCTGTCCCTCCCCGCCAACCCCAGTTGTGCACGCACTCTTTCTCTTTCTCTCAAATAAATAAATCTTTAAAAAAATAATAAAGCCACGTAAACAATTATATATGTTATAATGATATATAACATGGAACTGTAAAGTTTAGAAGCTGGGAGTACTTTTTGTTTTATTTTATTAAAGATTTATGTATGTATGTATTTGAGAGAGACAGACAGCATTAGAGTGAAGGGGGAGGGGCAGAGGAAAAAAAGCCTGATGTGAGGCTCAATCCCAGGATCCTGGGATCATGACCTGAGCCATAGGCAGATGCTTAACCGACTGAGCCACCCAGGTGCCCCTGGGAGTACTTTTCAAAATGGAAAACAGGAAAGTAAAAAGTAGGTGCTTTAAAGTGTTGAAGGATGAGCATGAGTGAGAAAAAGAAACCTCCACTGAGGCAGGACAGACACATGAACAGAGAAGCAGAGAGGGAGGCAGTTTCTCCACTCATCTCCTTCGGCACAGCCTCTGGTCTGTCCATTCTTCTCAATCATTCTTTTGGTCCTACCTTACATGGTAATTGCTCACTCTTGCTTAGCTATCTTTACTACTCATTCCATCTGACATGCTCCCGATTTCTCTCAATTTCCTTGCTGCCTGTAAGAGACAGTTCATCTGGGGGCGCCTGGGTGGCTCATGGTCATGATCCTAGGTCCTGTGATCGAGCCCCACGTTGGGCTCCCTGCTCAGCAGAGAGCCTGCTTCTCTCTCTCCCTCTGCCTGCCTCTCTGCTTACTTGTGTTCTATCTCTCTGTCAAATAAATAAATAAAATCTTAAAAAAAAAAAAAGAGTTCATCTGAACTCATCTCCTACAACAAAGTCTTCCTTGGCTGACCATAACTGACCTTGAGCTCTCTTATACTCCCTGATGTCTAAGATCTTTTACAGATGGTTTGCTACCATATTATCTGGCCCATTTTCATGTAATGGTTGGTTGTGTCATGGGCATGTAACTACCACCCTCTTCCCCTTGGGAAGAATGTAAGAATTTCTACATCATCGGCTACTTTTTTCTTCCTCTGAACCTCTCTGTGTCTGATATCATGTTGGATATACAACACTCAAAGACCAGTTAAATGAATGTTAACAAATGCAGGCTAAAACAACACACCTCATAAATGGTTAAGTTCTCACTATGGACATTAACCACCAGAATATGGACTTCATCTGTATCATCTGCAAGTGAGTGTAAAGGAGGAAGTGGGTAAGTACTGGCTTGGGCACTTAATTCATGCTGGTATGAACACTGAAGTATGGGCTTGTAGACTAATCTGGGAGGGCCATCCTAAGGTCCCCAGGAAAGGAGGGACTTTTTACTTCATGAGGAATTCACTTAAAATTCTATTTTACTCTAGTAACTTAAAAAAACGAGAACTGGTTGCCTATTTGTCAGTCTGATTCATATGGAATCTGGTGACTGGAGTTATTTCAGGTTTGCCTCTGGGACTTGGTAAAATGAAATGATGAGCCCAATATGGTCCCAGAGGAAAGCCAGTAACTAGAATGGACAGAAAATGGATGATGTTAAGTAGCTACAGGTCTGGTATCTCCAGCAGTTTATGAGAGAAGATTTGGAAACAACTTAATTGTCCAGCAACATGAGACTAAGTTATGGCCCATCCATGTAACAACGTACTCGCTTAACTATTAAAAATCTATACTGTAGAGGGGCACCTGGATGGCACAGTTGGTTGAGAGTCAACTCTTGGTTCTGGGTTGAGATTGATCCCTGCATCGCATCGGGCTCGCATAAGCAGAGAGTCTGCTTAAGATTCTCCCTCTCCGGGGTGCCTAGGTGGCTCAGTGGCTTCGGCTCAGGTCATGGTCCCAGGGTCCTAGGATCGAGCCCCGCATCAGGCTCTCTGCTTGGTGGGGAGCCTGCTTCCTCCTCTTTCTCTGCTTACTTGTGATGTCTGTCTGTCAGCTGGATGAATAAAATCTTAAAAAAAAAAAAAAAAAAAAATTCTCCCTCTCCCTCTGCCCCACCTACTCAGGCACGCCCTCTCAAATAAATGAATCTTGAAAAAAACCTAAATATTCACTGGTAAGAAAAGAGATTCAAAATACAGTAAGAGGAGAAAATCTAGTTAAAATAAATTCAGTGGGATCTCACTTTTATTTTATGCAAAGGAAAAAAAATGCAAATGTATATTTTTGCCCATGGGAAAAAAGCACCGAAAAATACTAGTATATAGTAGGGTGTAATTCCTGCAAGGCGGGATAATAGATTGTTTAATTCCAATCTTTTAACTTTATTGACTTTATCTCACTCTCTTTCTTTTTATACAATAAACACACATATTACTTTTATAACAACGGTAACAACAAAAAACAAGTAGCTTTCAATTTTGCAAAAAGATGCTCAACCTTGAAATATACATCCAAATTGGAGGCAATGAGAAAAGAAGAAAAGTCCCCGAAAGGTAAGACCAGATGGAGATTCTCCCAGCTTTTCAGGTGTGTGTGACATCCACAGAGGACAGATAGGGAGGGCACTGTGATTCCTAGCTGTGGCCCAGATCACACACTCACCTTTACAGCAGTAGCCCCTGAGAACAGGGAACAAGGGGTGGCAATCACAACATGACCTCAGAGCAGTGAAGACTGTCATGCTACCTTAGAAATGACACAGTGCGGGCAGGCTGTGAGGTGCAGAGGAAGGAGCTGGGACCCACCTGGATGGTCACATTCATGGACTCTGGCGCAGGTCTGGGTACACTCAGGGGGTCTGGTACCACAGGGAACTGGCGGGTAGATCACTGATGCACCACAGTGGCAGGTTAGTTCATCAAAACCTGATGGAGAGGTGGGTGAAACAAAACAACCTTTCTGAGTTTGGGATGTGCCCACACATATTCACACAGACAAGCCACACACACTTTTATTTTTGGCTTTTTTTTTTTTTTTTAGGGGACTGCTTTTTTCACAAAAGGTTTTTATTTTATTAAAGTTGAGCTGGTGCCAAAGGAGCAGAAAGGTATGTTACTTGCAACAAACTTTAAGTCCATGAGTAACCCAGGACACTTTCGCATGTATTTTATAGACAATAGATCTATAAACCATCTCTTTTAAAAGAATAGGAGACTTCTACTAAAGTATAGTGTTTTTTTTTTTCTTCAAACTCCTTTGGTTAGAAAAATGGATAGAGATTATGAAAGCCACAGATAATTAGCAAACATACAAAAATATGCATTTGAATAGAAACCTCAGAGAGACACTGAAGCCATTAAAAAAATTTTTTTTTAATTTAAAGATTTTATTTATTTATTAGAGAGAGAATGAGAGTGGAGAGGAGCAGAGGAAGAAGCAGGTTCCCTGCTGAGCAGGGAGCCTGATGTGGGGTTTGATCCCAGGACCGCAAGATCATGACCTGAGCTGAAGGCAGACACTTAACTGAATAAACCATCCTGGCGCCACCCCGCCACAAAATTCTTATAGGTATAATCAACATGTATCATGTTAGAAATATGAAGTTGAGGGCGCCTGGGTGGCTTAGTGGGTTGAGCCTCTGCCTTTGGCTCAGGTCATGGTCTCAGGGTCCTGGGATCGAGGCCCACATCGGGCTCTCTGCTCAGCAGGGAGCCTGCTTCCCCATCTCTGTCTGCCTCTCTGCCTACTTGTGATTTCTCTCTCTCTCTCTGTCAAATAAATAAATAAATAAATCTTTAAAAAAAAAAAAAGAAGAAGAAGTATGAAGTTGAAATGAAGCACAGAGCTGCGTTCAGGTTCATGATGCACAGTTCCCAAGGTAAATCAAAATGATGACTCACACTGGACAGTTCCAACAAGCAGCCCACCTCAAGAGCTCTCCTAACTCCTAACCCACTGTTCTTCTCCGGTCAGTACTCTTTCCATGAAACCCTTCAGAGGCTACACAATGTGGCAGAAAGAGCCCTATAAATATAATCAAGAGACTCTGGCTTCAAGTCCTAGACCTACTACTTACCCGCTAAGTAATTGTGAGCTGATAATTTTTTTAAGATTTCATTTATTTGACAGAGAGAGACAACTAGAGAGGGAACACAAGTAGGGGGAGTAAGAGAGAGAGAAGCAGGTTTCCCACTGAGCAGGGGACAAGATTCGGGGCTCGGAACCTGGGATCATACCCTGAGCCGAAGGCCGATGCTTAAGGACTCAGCCACCCAGGTGCCCCAGTGTGGGCTGGTAATTTAACCATTCTCAACTTTTTATTGGTGAGGTGGGGATACCAAACTTTGGCTTATCCACTCAACAAGCTTATTATGAGAAGTAGCTATGTAAAGGGAATGGGGCTACATAAGTTGTTTTCATGGAATCCATGTGTGTGATTTATTTATTTATTTTTAAAAGATTATTTGACACAGAGAGAGAGAGAACAATCAGGGAGAGCAGCAGAGGGAGAGGGAGAGGCAGATTCTCCACTGAGCAGGGAGTCTGATGTGGGGCTCAATCCCAGGACCCTGAGATCATGACCTGAGCTGAAGGTAGATGCCTAACCGACTAAGCCACCCAGGTGCCCCCACATGTGTGATTTTTATTAAAACACTGACACAACTCTTCTTGAAAATGAAGTAGGCCTAGCATTCTAGCAAAGACATTTTGGGAAATCTTGATCTAAGCCAATCTTTTAATGTAGCAGTTCTCTAAATGTGCTGTTGATTCCCAAGGGTCCCTGAGCTCCTTTCAGGGAATCCGTAAGGCCAAAATTATTCTTTTTTTAAAGATTTTATTTATTTGACAGAGAGACAGTGAGAGCAGGAAAACAAGCAGGAGTAGTGGGAGAGGGAGAAGCAGGCGTCCTGTGGAGCCAGGAGCCCGATGCTGGGCTTGATCCCAGGAACCTGGGATCATGACTTGAGATGAAGGCGGTTGCTTAATGACTAAGCCACCCAGGTGCCCCAAGGGGTGCCTAATAAGACTAAGATTTTTTTTTTTTTCCACTATGCTGACATTTGCATTGATGGTGCAAAAGCAATGGTTAGTAAAACTGCCATGGCTTTAGCACAGATCAAGGCAGTAGTGCCAAACTGTAATCATGGTATTTTTCACTGCCAAGCACTTAGAATAAATAAAAAATGCGGGGCGCCTGGGTGGCTCAGTGGGTTAAAGCCTCTGTGTTCTGCTCAGGTCATGATCCCAGGGTTCTGGGATCGAGCCCCGTATCGGGTTCTCTGCTCAGCAGGGAGCATGCTTCCTCCCATCTCTCTGCCTGCCTCTCTGCCTACTTGTGGTCTCTCTGTGTGTCAAATAAATACATAAAATCTTTAAAAAAAAAAAAAAGAAAAGAAAAAAAGAAAGTCCTTGATGAAGCAGTAAAGGAAAAAAACAACCTAGCCCTTAAATATGTCTTTTCCATTATCTGTGAAACAGAGTGGGAAATCTGCATAAAGCACTTTTGTTGCATACTAAAATATAACCTGGTTGTTTTAAAGAAATGCACTTGTTGGAGTTGTGAGCTAGAATGCCATTTTTACTCAAAAGAATGACTTATAAGCTATAGTTATTTAGACTTAGGCATTTGGCATACTTTTATCAAAAATTACCAAAGTGAGCCTATCATTTCAGGAAAGCCAACTTTGTTGCTAGTAATAAAAGCTTTCAAGCTTTCAAGTGAAAACAGAATTTTGGAAAGTATGTATTTACCACTATGAGCTTGACAACTTCCTAATACTTTTCCTAAGACCTTTCTGGTAAGTTATATTAATGAATGTAAATGTTTAATATTGTAACATAAAATTTTTCACTAATTCAAAAATTTGCATAACACAGTGAATAATTCATTTCCAAATGATCAGTATATGATGCTATCAAATCGTGCATGGGTAAAAGATCCATTCAAAATACAAGAAAAACCAATGAATTTTAATGTGACAGAGAATAAAAACTAAAACCCTGACTCAAGTCCTTTCTGAAGTGAGGCTCAGGTTTGGTGTAATTTCAAAAAAAAGAATATTCACCATTATTACACCTTCTTTTTCCACTATATATCTATGTGAGGCCAGATTATTTCATTTCCTTCAACTCTATACTGCAACAGATTAATATATAAACAGATATGAGACTCCAACCATCTTTTATTAAATCAAGCATCTGTTCTTCTAGTTAAAAAAAATAGTTTTAAAAATATGTGTAAGGGGGCGCCTGGGTGGCTCAGTGGGTTAAAGCCTCTGCCTTCGGCTCAGGTCATGATCCCAGGGTCCTGGGATTGAGGCCCGCATCGGGCTCTCTGCTTGGCGGGGAGCCTGCTTCCTCCTCTCTCTCTGCCTGCCTCTCTGCCTACTTGTGATCTCTCTCTCTGTCAAATAAATAAATAAAATCTTTAAAAAAATATATATATATGTGTAAGGGTGTCTTTGTGTCTCAGTTGATTAACCATCTGCCTTCAGCTTAGGTCATGATCCTAGGGTCCTGGGACTGAGCCCCACCCACACTGGGCTCCCTCCTCAGTGGGGAGTTTGCTTCCCCCTTGGCCCCTTCCCGATGACTCAAGCTCTCTCTCAAATAGATAAAATCTTAAAAAAAAAAAAAAAAAGTCATTTATGTTAATATGCAATGAGTATATTACCTTTATTCTTTTAATAATTTTTATTTATTTATTTGTCACAGAGAGAGAGAGAGAGAGAGAGAGAACAAGCAGGAAGAGCTGCAGGCAGCAGGAAAAGCAGGCTCCCCACTGAGCAAGGAGCCCGATGCAGGACTCGATCCCAGGACCCTGAGATTATGACCTGAGTTGAAGGCAGACACTTAAATGAATGAGCCACCCAGGCGTCCCTATATTACTTTTTTTTTTTTTAAAGATTTTATTTATTTTTTGACAGACAGAGATCACAAGTAGGTAGAGAGACAGGCAGAGAGAGACAGAGAAGGGAAAGCAGGCTCCCCACTGAGCAAGGAGCCTGATGCAGGACTCGATTCCAGGACCCTGAGATCATGACCTGAGGCGAAGGCAGAGGCTTAACCCACTGAGGCACCCAGGCGCCCCCCCATATTACCTTTTTTTTCCCTTAAATATTTGTTTAGGGCTGCCTCCTGACCCACCATCTTTCTTTTCTTTTTTTTAAAGAAGATTTTATTTATTTATTTTGACAGAGATCACAAGTAGGCAGAGAGGCAGGCACAGAGAGAGGAAGGGAAGCAGGCTCCCTGCTGAAGAGCCCGGGGCGAGGCTCGATCCCAGGACCCTGGGATCATGACCCAAGCTGAAGGTAGAGGCTTTAACCCACTGAGCCACCCAGGTGCCCCTGTATTACTATTTTTGAAAAGATTTTATTTATTTGGGAGAAAGAATGAGTGGAGGAAGGGACAGAGGGAGAAGCAGGATAAATAAAACCCTCAAAAAAATTTCTCAGTTTTAATTTCTAATATGGTAAACAGATATAAATCACATAAAAAGAGCTCTTTGAGGGTCCTTGATATTTTTTTTAAAAGATTTTATTTATTTATTTGACACAGAGAGAGAGAGACAGAGAGAGGAGACACAAGCAGGGGGAGTGGGAGAGGTAGAAGCAGCCTCCCTGCTGAGCAAGAAACCTGACCAGGGATCAGGGGGTGTGTGGGCGGCAATGGGCACACTTGTTCCTGAGCCAAAGGCAGATGCTCAACGACTGAGCCACCCAGGTGCCCTGTGAGGGTCCTTGATAATTTTTAAGAATGCAAATGAGTCCTAAAACCAAGCTTCCAAGCAGCTGCTAACAATATAGAGAAAGAAGACTATTGAGGACAGAATCTGTCAATGATCTTTAAGAGTAACCCAGTAATGGGGCGCCTGGATGGCTCAGTGGGTTAGAGCCTCTGCCTTCGGCTCGGGTCATGGTCCCAGGGTTCTAGGATCGAGCCCCGCATCAGGCTCTCTGCTCCGTGAAGAGCCTGCTTCCTCCTCTCTCTCTGCCTGCCTCTCTGCCTACTTGTGATCTCTGTCAAATAAATAAATGTTTAAAAAAAAAAAAAAAAGAGTAACCCAGTAATGAACCAGATCTCTTCTTAGCATTGTTGCTGTATCCCAAGTTTTGTACATTCAGGGAAGACAATACAGCACTAGAATAACTTTTTTTTAACATCTCAACATATCTGAGATACTTAGGCTTAGTTCAGTATCCCATACCAAGTTACGTAAATCACTCCCACAAAATATACTATGCTTGGGGGCGCCTGGGTGGCTCAGTGGGTTAAAGCTTCTGCCTTTGGCTCAGGTCATGATCCCAGGGTCCTGGGATTGAGCCCTGCTCTCTGCTCAGCTGGGAGCCTGCCTCCTCCTCTCTGTCTGCCCCTCTGCCTACTTGTGATCTCTGTCTGTCAAATAAATAAATAAATAAAATCTTAAAAAAAAAAAAATATATGTATACACTGTGCCTGAACTTCTAGAAAACTCTTATAATAAAGCATACAGTGAAGACACTCACTGGCTTGCCAGCATGACTGGCAGTTCCCGCGATGACAAGGTTCTTCACATCTATGAAGGCCACAACGGAGTTTCCTCCCACAAATCAAAGGACACTTGTGCTCCTTATCCTACAAAGAGATTCATATTTGTTTGTAAAATTATCTCCATTTACACTTTCCACAAACAACAAGAAGGTAATAAAAAAGGCTCTCCAAATTTATGGTGAAATGATGTCTGGGATTAGCTTCAAAATAATCAGAGGGAGTAGGTGTGGATGTGGATGAAATAAGATTAGTTAAGAGCTGGTCATTACTAAAGTAGGATGTTGGATATGTGAGACTCATACTAATCTCTCTGCTTTTGTATATGTTTGAAATTTTTAATAAGAGGAAGTCTTTAAGCCTTCAAATACTGATTCATAAGTCTTGATACGTTGTCCAATTTTATCACTCTATATCTTGTCAATATGTAAACTTTAAAAATAACAATTACATGCAATATACATATATAGGTGAGTGTACACATGCACTACTTTGGTACTGGCACTGTGTTGCCCTGTTTATACACAAAACACACATGCACAACATGGTAACACATTACTGCTGGGCAGTGCTTTCTTTATTTAGTTCCATATAAGTCAATTATTCAGATAACTGAAACGTGCTCCTTTCAAACTGCCTTACTCATTTTGCCTACTGACCTGATCCATATTGTATGTGAAACCCAAAGCCTGACTTGCTAAGACCAGCCCAGTCTGTATGTTGGGACAGCACATAATCTCCTGTGGAGGACTGTATGCTCATCCAGTGATCTTGGATTCTGGAGCCTGAGGCCTTCTGTCTTTCTTCTTTCTGTCTTTCTCCCATGTTGCCACAGGCTGACCTGGCTAGGACCTAAAATGGCCTGTCTCTTTGGGCAACTCTCTTACTGCTGCCCAGGGGCCCCTCCCAGTGATTTCTAAATCTGGGCTACATTCCAGATGGCTGAGGCTTCTAGATGCCCAGCCCTTGGATGAATGCAATCTGACTGTATCTAATGATAGGTCCACTTACCACACAGCAGATCTCATTACATTTATGCCGTCCACACAACCGTTTCTTGTTACACCGCTTATCACACATAAATGTAGCATCTGCTGTGGCCAATTAAAAAGAAAAAAAAAAAGGGCAAGGATATAAACATTCAGCAAATATTTGAGTGACTACAAGCTGAAGAAATACAAATGTAATAATGTAAATAAGTTAGTTATGGTGAAAATACATATAAAAAGATACTTTTCATTTGTCAGTCTGTCAAAAAAAGACAATGGAAGACTGAGTAATATTCATTATGGGTGAAGGTATAGAGAACAAGGCACACTCAGTGGATAGGAGTATAAAGTTTTGGTGTACATAGTATCTATCAAAAATTTCACTGGAAATTCTATCTTAAGGAATCATTCCTACATATATACTTTCAAAAGTGGCTAGAGCACCAAAAGCACAAGCAACAAAAGAAAAAAAAACAAATTGGGATAGATCAAAATTAAAAGATTTTGTGCACCAAGGACACCATTAAGAATGTGAAAAGACAGCCCACATAACGGGTGAAAAGATTTGCAAATAATCTATCCATACGGGTCCAGGATCCAAAATACATAAAAACTCTTACAACTCAAAGAGAAACTACCCAATTAAAAGACTGGCAAAGGACTTAAAAAGACTATTTTCCAAAGATTATAAATGGCGAAGTACATAAAAAAATGTTCAATGTCACTAAGGAACAAATGAAAACCATAATGACATATCACTTCATATATATTTAGGGAAGCTATAATAATAATAAAAAATATATATAAAAACCCAAACCAAAACAAAACAAAAAATAAGCATTGGAGAGAATGTGGAAAAACTGAAACCCTCAGACATTGTTGAGGGGAATGTAAAATGATGTAGCTGCTATGGAAAACTGCTGTGGCAGTTCTTCAAAAAATTGCACACAGAATTACCATATGATCCAGCAATTCCACATGTAGGTACATATCAAAAAAAATTTTAAACAGATATTTTATTTTATTTTTTTAAAAGATTTTATTTATTTATTTGACAGAGATCACAAGTAGGCAAAGAGGCAGGCAGAGAGAGAGGAGGAAGCAGGTTCCCCGCTGAGCAGAGAGCCCAATGCGGGGCTCGATCCCAGGACCCTGAGATCATGACCTGAGAGGAAGGCAGAGGCTTTAACCCACTGAGCCACCCAGGTGCCCCTAAACAGATATTTTAACCAAAACTTGTGTACAAATGTTCACAGTAGCACTAATCGTAACAGCCAAAAGATCAAAACCACCCAATGTCTGTCAACAGATGAACGAATAAATAATTGTGATATATTCACACAATGAAATATTATTCAGTCATAAAGAGGAACGAAGTTCTGATATGTGCTACAACATGGATGAATCTTGAAAACATGCTAAGTGAAAGAAGCTAGGTATAAAAGGTTACATATTATATGAGTCCATTTATATGAAATACTCAGAATAGGTAAACCCAGAGACAGAAAGCACATTAGTGGTTCCCAGGGGTTTGAGGGATGAGTGAGTGAGGAGTGAAAACTTAATGAATACAGGGTTTCCTCTTGGGGTGATGAAAATGTTTTGGAACTAGACAGAGGTGATGGCTGCACACAACACTGTGAATTTACTACATGCCACTGAATTGTATACTTTAAAACGTTCTGTTCTATGTTGCGTGAATTTTATCTCAATTTTTAAAAATGGGCTAGGTACTGAAGTGTTTATGGGTGAAATAATGTTCGAGATTTGTTTTCAAAGTATTCTAGTGAAAATAAAATGTAGAGAAGGGAGGGATGGGTGAAACAAAAAAGGAAAAATGCTGATAACGGATGATGGGTGACAGGTACTTAGGGGTTTATTATACTAATCTTTCTACTCTCACTTATGGTTGAAATTTCATCATAAAGTTTTAAAACATCAGACAAGATGGCTACTGCATTATCTGTAGTGGGTAAAAACTGCAGACAACCCGAATGACCACCCAAAGGGCAATGGTGAACTATGGGTGAACTACAGGGCGGCATCCCCACATACAGAATACTGAGAGGGAGAGCTATATACACTGACATGGAAAAATGTCTTTTGATATATTACTGAGGGGAAAAAAAAACCCCAAGGTGAAAACAGCATGTTTAGTATAAATGTAAGTTTAGAGGAAAAAACAAAACTAACGGGATGTATATACATCTAAATGAATAGAGAAGGGGCGCCTGGATGGCTCAGTGGGTTAAGGTCTCTGCCTCCGGCCCAGGTGGTGATCCCAGGGTCCCGGGATCGAGCCCTGCATCGGGCTCTCTGGCAGGGGACCTGCTTCCCTTCCTCTCTCTCTGCCTGCCTGTCTGCCTACTTGTGATCTCTGTCAAATAAATAAATAAAATCTTAAAAAAAAATAAATGAATAGAGAAAAAGATCTAGATCCATACCCAAGAAACTAATAACCGTTTCATCAGGGAAGTGAAACTAGGAGGGGAAAATTGGGTTAGGGTATATTTTCACTTTTTACTTTATATTGTATTTATTTTTTCACTTTAAAAGTGTACTAGTGTTATTTTTTCAAATTATGTCTTTAATAACCAGAATTTTGACTATGGGCTTAAGGCGGATATTTCTAGTCCCCTCCCAAACAGCCACTCTCCACCTCCTTAAGGCTAACAGAGCCTTAATTTTGTTCAGAAATTGGGTGCCCCTGTGCTCCTCAGTTCAAGGTTGACTGTAGAATAGTCTATCTACCCTGTTAATTCCATTCCCCTTGTTAATATCCGGGTTAGGCAGGAACATGTGACACAGAGTATACTAAGAGCCTCTCAGGACTGTTTTCCTTGCTGGTAAGAAGGAAGGGAAGCTTGGGGCACCTGGGTGGCTCAGTCAATTCCACACCAGACTCTTGATTTTGGCTCCAGTCATGATCTCAGGGTTGTGAGATCAAGCCTCAAGTTGAGCTCTGTACTCAGTGGGGAGCCAGCTTAAGATTCTCTTTCCCTCTGTGCTTCCCCACCTCACTTGCTCTCTCGGGGGGGAAAAACGAAGAAAGGGAAGCTTAAGAATCTCTTTCCTTTAGATGTTGTTGGGTAAGATGTGTGGATTTGCTGTAGCTAACTTACACCCATGAGGAGAAAACCAAAAAAATCAGAGAGGCTGACTTGGTGTTCTGCAATCAGTGAGACTGGAACTACCCAAGCCTGGACTTGTTCTGCCTCCATACTTCCTATTATGTGAAACAGTAAACTCCTTTACTGCTGATGTTACTTTTCCCTGGGTTTTCAATACCTGCAAACAAAAACATCCTAACCCAATACAGCCTTCTTCCTGGCCAGAATAACAGCTTTTATTTTGTACACATTTAACTTCTATCACTTTTCCAAGAAGGTTTTCAGGTGGCTTAAACAAAAGACTATGAGATGGTTAGCAAAGGACAGAATCATAATAGTATGGAATGTCAGATCAAGGAGAGAGGAAGAAAAAAAATGGTAGTCCTCAAGGCTAAGAAGGCTGCTGGTTGAGTATCTGTTCCAGGTACGCAACAGTCATATCAAGCCTTATGGGGATCAAGCATCAGAGTTAGTGTGTAAGAAGTTTACTGTATTACGGGGCGCCTGGGTGGCTCAGTGGGTTAAGCCTCTGCCTTCGGCTCGGGTCATGATCCCAGGGTCCTGGGATCGAGCCCCGCATCGGGCTCTCTGCTCCGCGGGGAGCCTGCTTCCTCCTCTCTCTCTGCCTGCCTCTCTGCCTACTTGTGATCTCTGTCTGTCAGATAAATAAATAAAAAAATCTTAAAACAAAACAAAACAAAAAAAAAAGAAGTTTACTGTATTACGGATTATTCACCTTCACCTCTACTACAATCATTTTATTATGAAAATTTTCAAACATATAAAGAAGTTGAAACAACTTTACAGTAACGATCCACATGCCCATTACTCAGATTCTATCACTACTTTTTCACATATCTACCATTCTATTTATCTTAATATTTGATGAATTTCAAAATCAGCTGCAGATATGAGTACACTTACCCTACCCTAATTTTAGCATTTCATTAACTAGAATTCAATTTATGATTTTTACTTTTCTTTTGAGGTAAAAGTTATATACAATGAAATGCATAAATCTTAAGTGTACCTTTACTGAGCTATGACAAATACATAACCCAAACCCCTTTCAAGATAGAAAACAATTACTTTTATCCCAGAATGTTTCCTCTTGTCCCTTCCCAGTCATACCTTCACTTTTGAGACTGGTACATGGAAGCTCCTATGGAAAAAGGAAAAAAAAGGTGACAGTAACTCCTTTAGGAATAAATGAAACGACACAACTATAGTATAGTGCTAAATGTAGCATGTATATCCTAAATATCCTGTACTTCCCTGGCAGTCACTTATTGACTATCTGTCTGGAACTAGGTTGGCTCAGTCTCTGTATTAATAAGCTTTACTCACAACAGGGCCCCAGGTTTACTGACACTTCATAATATAATTGTACAATCTTTGTGGTCTGGCCTCCTAATTTAAAGTAGATAAGGAGGGGCGCCTGGGTGGCTCAGTGGGTTAAGCCGCTGCCTTCGGCTCGGGTCATGATCTCGGGGTCCTGGGATCGAGCCCCGCATCAGGCTCTCTGCTCAGCAGGGAGCCTGCTTCCTCCTCTCTCTCTGCCTGCCTCTGCCTGCTTGTGATCTCTCTCTGTCAAATAAATAAATAAAATCTTAAAAAAAAAATTAAAAAAAAAAATAAAGTAGATAAGGAATTATAAAATCTGAATGGAAAGAGGGGCTGCTAAATGTATACAAAGCAAAGAAAAATAATTACCTGGCAAGGGTAGACAGAAAAAGCCATAAAAAGCAGAAAATGTGAAAATATGTAATAATGTAGTACTAGAAGCAAATAGCTCAACACACTTGAGAGCAGCCCTGACATTGCTGAAATGCAGCAAAGAATACAGTAGTTATCCAGTATTCAAAGTATTACTGTAGTAATTATATATGAATGACCCCAAAGATCACACGTAACTTGCTGAGGCATGATCCCAAGTAACAGGTGTGGAAAGGCAGCTGTGTGGGAGCAAGCCAGTCATCTCGGGGAGAGGGAGGCTGGCTGCCTACCATCTACAGCTCAATTTGTCTTTGATGTCACTCACAGGTTGCTATGTACTCAGAAACTAGCAAAATGATAAAAATATGCTTTCTTAGTGAAAATGACCCTGAAAAAAGATGCAGCTGCTAGAGTTGAAAACAGAGGTAAAAGGGTCTAAGAAATGGAAGATTCTGGCTAGAAAGATGTTTTAGATAAATTCGTTGGCTAGGTTGGATGATAAGAAAAAGTTCCCCATATGTTTTCTAGAATCCTGAGTAGCCTCATGTAAACTGCTTGAGTGAATGTTCCAGTTAATGCAAACACTGGATTATAGAGTAGAAATGACACGCTAGAGTGGTATCTATAATTGCAGGGAAAGGCAGAGTTCCTATAGATTCCTAAAATCAGAATGAATTACCAACAAAAACTTAAATACAGTACTTTTTGTTAAGAGGTAGTAAGATGTAGCATACATTTTTCAAAGACCCCCACCAAAGTGATTAAAAGAAAACCACCATTGAAGCTTTAAGAAGTAAGTTTTATTTATCGAGAGAACTCACTTCCAGGGGCGGGGGGTAGCTCAGTCAGTTAAGCGTCTGCCCTTGTTTGGCTCGGGTCATGATCCCAAGGTCCTGGGCAAGAGCCCTGGAGTTGGGTTCCCTGCTCAGTGGGGATCCTGCTTCACCCTCTCCCTCTGTCTCTCCCCTACTCATGCCTTCTCTCACTCTTTCTCAAATAAATAAAATCTTAGTTTAAAAAAAAGGAAAACAGAAAACTTACTTCTAATAGAAAAGCCCATTCCATCACAAAAGACATTTCACGAAAAATTTGGCTAAACAACACGGCGATGATCAACAGTTTCAACGAGATTTTTCACTTTGTCAAAAGGTTTCAACAGAATTCATACTGATAGTGAACGGCTCCAGCAATTTTAGAATAAAACTTATTTGCAAAAATTCTATTTACATGGGGCACCTGGGTGGCTCAGTGGGTTAAAGCCTCTGCCTTCGGCTCAGGTCATCATCCCAGGGTCCTGGGATCGAGCCCCGCATCAGGGAGCCTGCTTCCCTGCCTACTTTTGATCTCTTGTCAAATAAATAAATCTTTAAAAAAAAATTCCATTTACACACAGCTTTTCATGAGTACACTCACTGCCATGGGATCCACTATTAGAGAGAGTGAGGAAGGATAGTGAATGAGAAGCAAAAAAGCAGAGAAATGGGATTGCAGGGGAGAAAGAAACAAAATGACAGTAGACATTACTAGCTCACACACCCCAACCCTGCCTGTACGTCTTGGTCACAAAGAGCACCTCTGCGCATTACTAAAATTGTGATTACTACATTACAGTACTTCACAGTCTTCAAGGTGCTGTAGCTGACATTCAAAATATCTCTACTGCCCCATGTACTCTGCAGTTTCTTTCAGAAAAGAAACACACGGGGCACCTGGGTGGCTTAGTCAGTTAAGCGTCTGCCTTTGGCTCAGGTCATGATCCCAGGTCCTGGGATTGAGCCCCATATGGGCTCCCTACTCAGCAGGGAGCCTGCTTCTCCCTCTCCAGCTCCCCTGTGCTTGTGTTCCCTCTCTCACTATCTGTCATAAATAAATCTTTATAAAAAAAAAAAAAAAGAAACACACACAACTTTTGCCACATGTAAACCACATTATTTTTACATTTTTATTCTAAAGCTTACCTAATAAGCTAGCTCCCAGTTTATGGACTATATCCTCAGAATCATTTGCAAGTCAGCAGCTACCCAGACCTTGGGCTTGGTAGCAGTGACTATGCACTGAAAGTGGGTCAGAAATGACAAACTTATACTTGGTATGTTCTCCAAGCTGGATTACCCAAAGATTTGCACAGCAAGGCTCCTACCTTTGGTTACAAGCAAAGGAATGGTAAAAATGGTAAGATGTCCCTTTTCTTTTCTTTTCTTTTTTTTTTTAAAGATTTTATTTATTTACTTGACAGAGAGAGATCACAAGTAGACGGAGAGGCAGGCAGAGAGAGAGAGAGAGAGGGAAGCAGGCTCCCCGCTGAGCAGAGAGCCCGATGCGGGACCCGATCCCAGGGACCTGAGATCATGACCCGAGCCGAAGGCAGCGGCCCAACCCACCGAGCCACCCAGGCGCCCAAGATGTCCCTTTTCTAACCAAGAGGCCAATAAAAACTGCCCTGGGCAGAAAGTAGAAATTGACAAAACAGTTGTATAGTTTTTTGTTTTTTTTTTTTTAAAGATTTTATTTATTTATTTGTCAGAGAGAGAGAAGGAGAGAGACCAAGCACAGGCAGACAGAATGGCAGGCAGAGGCAGAGGGAGAAGCAGGCTCCCTGATGAGCAAGGAGCCAGATGTGGGACTCGATCCCAGGACGCTGGGATCATGACCGGAGCCAAAGGCAGCTGCTTAACCAACTGAGCCACCCAGGCGTCCCAAAACAGTTGTATAGTTAAGAATTAACCTTCCTCAAAGGATGGTTGACCTTTGCCATTGGCTTCAGGGAGGTAATCTCTAAACCCTTGGAATATCATGCCTGACAGAAGGAGTGGCACTCTTTGCCTGAGGCCTTGGGTCATCACAGTGTAACATAACTTAGGGTACAGGCTGGCTATACTGAAAAGTCTTAAGGTGGGGACTGGCTACACCACGAAGACCAATGATGTACTTCAGGGTGGGACTTTGGGTCACACAGTAACCATAGACCTCTGGTGACACTGAAGATTGATATCAGCCACATGGGCAGTCAACCATGTGTACACAATGGAGCCTAAGTAAAAACTGCACACCCAGGCTTGGGTGACCTTTCCTGGTTGGCAAAACTCCATGCATATTACTACCAACTGATGTTGAGAAAGTAACATTGTTCCAACTCCACAGGGAGAGGACAATTAGAAGCTTCATACTTGCTATTTCTTGGACTCTGCCCTGCATGTTTCTTCCTTTGGGTGATTATTAATCTGTAACCTTCTCCCATAATAAACTGTAAGCACCATTATAACAGCTTTCAATGAGTTCTGCTGAGTCCTTTTAGTGAATTATCAAACCCTGAGGGTGGTCTTGTGGACACTGGACTTGCAGTTAGTATCAGAATTTAGGGTGGTCTTGTGGACTATTCTAATTCAGCAGTGGTCTAAACTCTTGCAGTGGGTATCATAAATGAGGGTGATCTTGTGGACTGCGTTCTCTCCAACTTCTTAGTTAGCTAATCTCTTGTAGTAGTGCTTTTGCTCTATACCAGCATCTATCATTATCACCACTTGTATTTGGTAGAGCTATCTGTATGTTTGCTTAGCCCCATTACTGGTCTCTGAGCCTGGAATGCTACTTCCCTCTACCCCCAATACCTACCCTACAACTGGCCCCTGGTTGCTGTCAGCATACACCGGCTGGATTGAATGAATCATACATAATATGATAGGAATAAAACATTATGATGTTATATTGATTCCTCCCATCCCATCATCACTAATTTAAAAGGTATGGGTGATAACTCTAACGTTGTTTATGATTTACCTTTGTTCTGAAAGAGCATCGGCAGGAAATAACTGATGTACGAGAGCATGGTCCACAGTCTCCTTCATGGCAGAGTTTTTCGCAGGTATGAATGAAATCTTTAAAAAAATGAAAAGACCTAGGAATGAACACTGCAAGTACTCATTTTCAGACTCTCAAGTTCACTAGCCGCATTAGTCTTCTAATTCTATGCCCCGCAACTCCAGAATCAGAGTTGAGGGAAGAAGAATGTGTTCGAAGCCTCTTCCCTTATCTTTCCTTCATCTGGCAGGCTGGGCCTTTTACGGCAAAGGCAGTGCTCAGAATTAGTCCCTGGAATAGCCTCTGGAATGCATAATGCTTTGCCTAAGTAAAAAATCAGTTCTGACTTTCTTTAGGCCTCAAGCCTCAAGGCTAGACTTGAGAAGATCCTTAAAATTAGAGCCATGGATGACTTTACTGAAGTACTCTTGACTCTGAAAATCTGGGGATCATAAACAATCAGAAACCATGATCCATAACCTCATTGACTCCAGCTCCGTGACTACCTGATGGTAAGAGGCCCACCATTCATTCTGCTAAACTAGGTTTAGGACAAATCCTGTTTCAAGGACCCCTCGGGGACCAGCCACAGTCTCTTATGGCTGCTATTTAAATGTGTTTCTTTCCATCCTTTTATTTTTCGGCCTAGTTTTATTTTTAACTCTAAAGTCAGTTTTCTAAAGATACCACATAGTAGGATCTTGTGCTTTTAAAAAAATTTTGGATAGCCTCTGCTTTTTAGTAGTTTAATCCACTGACACTAATGTTATTATTGATACAGTTGGATTATATCTGCCATTTAACTTTTACTTTTCGTATGCCTCATGTCGTTTTTGTTACTCTAATCCTCCTTTACTGCTTTCTTTGGCATTAAGTTAATATTTTCTAATATAACATTTTTTCTCCTTTAATGGTATTTTTCACTATTTTTAAGGGCTTTTTTTAGTTTTTTTTAAAATTATTTTTATTAACATAAAATGTATTATTTGCCCCAGGGGTACAGGTCTGTGAATCATCAGGCTTACACATTTCACAGCACTCACCATAGCACATACCCTTCCCAATGTCCATAACCCAACTACCTCTCCCTAACTCCCCCACCCTCCAGGAACCCTCAGTTTGTTTTGTGAGATTAAGAGTCTCTTATGGTTTGTCTCCCTCCCGATCCCATCTTGTTTCATTTTTTCCTTCCTTACCCCCCAAACCCCCGCCCTGCCTCTCAAATTCCTCATATCAGAGAGATCATATGATAATTGTCTTTCTCTGATTGATGGGGGTGCCTGGGTGGCTCAGTGGGTTAAGCCTCTGCCTTCAGCTCAAGTCATGGTCTCAGGGTCCTGGGATTGAACCCGGAGTTGGGCTCTCTGCTCGGCGGGGAGCCTGCTTCCCCCTCTCCCTCTGCCTGCCTCTCTGCCTACTTGTGATCTCTCTCTCTGTGTCAAATAAATAAATAAATAAATAAATCTTTTTAAAAAATCGTCTTTCTCTGATTGACTTATTTCGCTCAGCCTAATACCCTCTAGTTCCATCCACATCATTGCAAATGGCAAGATATCATTTCTTTTGATGGCTGCACAGTATTCCATTGTATATATATATATACATCTTCTTTATCCATTAATCTGTTGATGGACATCTAGGTTCTCTCCATAGTTTGGCTATTGTGGACGCTGTTGCTATAAACATTTGGGTGCATACGCCCCTTCAGATCACTACATTTGTATCTTTAGGGTAAATACCCAGTAGTGGGATTGCTGGGTTGTAGGGTAGCTCTATTTTCAACTTTTTGAGGAACCTCCATGCTGTTTTCCAGAGTGGCTGCACCAGCTTGGATTACCACCAACAGTGCAGGAGGCTTCTAGGGGGATTATTTTATGAATAGTTGTTCTAGGGCTTACCATACACATCTTATCAGAATCTACTTCAGATTTATACAAATTAATTCCAGTGAGATATAGAAGACTTATTCCTAGGTAGCTCTATTCTCGCTTCTTTTATGCTTTATTGTTGTATATGTCTACATGTTATAAACCCACAAATACATTATTAGATTACTTTCTATAATTTCTATTAAAGCTGAGAAAAGGAAAGCAAGCATATATTCATGGTTTGTTGTATTGATCATCTTATCTACCATTTCTGGCTTTCTTCATTTGTTCCTACTGATCTGAGGTACCACCTGGTACTACTTCCTTCCTCCAGTACAAGTGTGGTCCCATCCACACCCTTTGTGCTCTTATTGTCAAATGTATTTCCACATCTTATAAGCCTAACGATATAATTACACATTCTTATACAACCGCTTCTTAAGTCAGTGGCAAAGAGAATATGCATTTACACTGTCCTTCAAAATTACGAAATTACTGTTACTTTTTGATTTTTCATATGAATTTAAATCTGGGTTTATTTGCTTTTATCCTGAAGAACTTCCTTTAGTATTTATTATGAAGTGATCTACTAGCAATAAATTCTCTGCTTTTATTTTCATTTCTGGAAGACAGTTCTGCTGGACAGAAGCTTCTCAGCTGGCAGTTCCCCGCGCACCCCTTCCTCCAGCATTTGAATAGTTCATTCCAGTGTCTTCTTATTGTGATGTAGTATTCTCCATTGATTCTGATGAGAAGTCTGCTGTAATCTTATAGGGGGTTCTCTTGTATGTGAGGAATCCTATTTCTCTTGCTTTCAAGATTTTCTCCTTGTCCTTGGCTTTCAGCTTTTTACTTGTGTCTAGGTGTGAATCTCTTTGAATTTATCTTATTAGGTAAGTTGAGCTTCTTGGATACACAGATTAATGGTTTTCAATAAACCTGAAAAGTTTTCAGTTATTCCAATACTTCTTTTGCTTTCTACCATTGTGATATTCCCATTATACATATGCTTATGGGCTTAAATGTGCACTCCATTTGTATGAGGTGCCATTCACTTTTCTTCATTCTATTTTCTCTCTGTTGGGCATAAATTGCTCAGCGCTCTGATCCAATGAAGTGTGGGTAGGGGTAGTCTTTGAGTCAAGTCTGTGAAGTTTGTTCTGACCTCAGAAGGGCTCCTCTTAGCTATCCCTTTCCCTGGTTCTTTCTGCTGAACTAGCTGGCTTACATTTTAGCTTATTGCCCTTAATTAAAAAGAGGTGTTATTTTTTAAAAGTCCTTAAGGTCTCAACTTCTCCACAGTGTTTCAAATCAAGGTCTATTCCTTTGGGGGACTACTTTGTAGACTTTTGGAAAAAGTCTCAGTCACTTACTCTTGGTGCCAAGTGGGACAGGAGCCTCTGGTTTTCTTGGCTTATTTTTCCAGCGTGGAACATCTGCTCTAAAAAGTGAGCTGTGCTGAAGATGACTGGTGCCCCAACAGTCTAGCCTGTTGTGACTGGGGAAGAACTGACTTATGGGTGGGGCTGTATGGAAAGGAGCCCCCGACCTCTCAGCTGTGCTTACCAGAAATTTAGCCTCTTCAACTTAGTTAGAGGGGATGAAAAATGCTGGCAGTCTGTTCTTCCCAGTGAGATATGGTAACCCTTGACTGGGAGCTTAGGGGTAGAGGCAGCCTCATCTTCCTGGCACACCTATCCTGAGTAGAGCTTTTGTTAAGTTGAGCTCGGGGAGGAAGAAAGGAAGTGTACTATGACTTAAACGACACAGACTCTTGCCGTTCTTACTGGATTTTAGATTTTCTTTAATAAATACTTCTCCATTTGATGTATGCTCATAGGACAATTTCCAGAAACTTTAAATGATTGCTTTGTAATAATTTTCCCTAGCTTTGCCTGTTTTGCTGGGGAGTGCATCCATGTAGCTCATGTTCCCATCCTGAAAGCAAAACTCTCCCTAGTGTCTTGTACTAAAGTGATCTGTCTAGGATAGAAATTCCTATTGAGTGAGCTACTAAAAGATCCCCCCAAGCTTTCTACAGATAAGCCAGATCTGAATAAACTTGACATTCATTGTTTTCACTAGCCATAGGCTTATCTTTGAGCTTCTTAATCCAACAGCCTAATTCCTTACAAATTTTTCATGATTAAAAACTTGTTGAGGTACAGTGGTTAACCTCAAATCCCTTCATCTGGTCTTGTCCCACCCCTGGGCCTGTTTATACAGACAATTACTATCTTTCCCTTGGTGAAGTCCCCATGCACTACCCAATTTACATTTCCTCTTTCTCTCATTGCCAACATATCTTAGCCCCACAGTGGGATTTTTGGTCTTCATATATGAAATCATTACAAAACTGACCCATGAGCTTTCTGAAAAGAGAAGACCCTTACCATCCTGGATTTTGAAGCCATTTGATATCCATTTTACAGAGCTTATCTGAAGATACATTTTTATAGTAGGCAAAGAGAACCAACACACAACTTGTTTTCCCAATGCAGTAAAAATATGTATTAAAATATGAGAAAAGAGCATTTCTCCTCTATACATAATTTTAAAATCATACTGAAAAAAATAATTAGGGTGTACCTACCAGTTTTTGCTGTTTCTGGAAAAAGTACGAAATCCCTCTTTTTGATAAACATGGAAACCAAACCCAAAGATTTTAGCTTCGCTAATTAGTTACAGGAACACCTCTCTTATATAAACTCCATTGCCCATGTCTATTTTACACAGCCTCTGAACACTCACCCAAGAGAGAAGGTACCAAGTCATTGTAAAACTATACAGGTATATTCCCCAAGGACTGCTTCAGAATGTCTCAGAGCTCAGACTATTACTTTAAGGCTAATTCCAACAAACTTTTTTTGGTTTCTATATCCAAGTAATCAGAAGCCACAAGTCAGAAAAAAGGGAGAGTCACTAATGGTAGGCACACAGACATACTAAAAGCAATGACAGGAAAATAAACAACCAAAAACTTTAACTAGTAGATAAAGGAATTCAAACTGCACATTGGTGTAGGGAAATTGCCTGAGAAACCTCAGCAGACCCTAAGGGCATCACTGTACCCAGCATACTACAGTAACTGAGGTTCAGGAAAATGATTACTCTGGGTCAATAAAGAAGAAAGAAATTATCTTCAGTAATCTCTGTTTAAAGAAAGAAAATGTAATTTTTAGAAAACCACCCTTCCAAAATGATGTTTAGGAGGTCTTTTCCCCCAACTAGATGGGAAACTTACCTATAGAGGAAGTATTTTTTGAGTATTCCAAATGGCTAAAGTTTTATTGTACTTATTAGCATTTTAGTTCTTAAATATCTCACCCATAGTAATTTAACATGTTCTTATTATATGAAAATGCCTTTAAACACTCACTGACCCCTAGATTGGTAAAAGGATATGTGGTGTTCATACTATGGCAGGCTACTAAGAGAAGTTATAACCCACCCCTACCCCACCCTGCCACCCCACATGGGATAGTATCTCACAACTGTCCTGAGTTAGTAATAAAATATCCAAAGCAGAAGGAGAGATCACTTGGGCATATTTGAGCTTTTACAAGTATACTTTGAGGAAGAAAGGAAAAATGCCCACACAAATTTGATCATTAATATTTTCAAAAGCCTCTGATATTATAACTGAAATTTAACACTATTCTGCTTATATAGTCACTGCTACCAAACATTTCCATTCACATTGTTAAAAACAGCTATATGCCTACTGGTTACCTAGGGAACCACATGGCAGAGGCTTGCCACACACTTTTCCACATGAAGGGACAGGATCCATGCAAGTTTTCCGACCACTACTTCCAAGTTCTAGCAATTGGCTGAGAGGAGTTTGGCCACAAGGGCAACATCGCACCAGCTGGGGGAGCCGTGGGCATGGCTGGCAGGGCTGAGGGTGGCACACTTGAGAACATGTATGGTTCCCACATTTCAAATCCCTGTTAAGAAAAACAACAGACTATTATGTAACTGTTGCATAAAACATGGCTCTATTCTATCTGAGAAAAACATAAAACCTTACTTGCCACATATCTTTAAACAGCCAAAGTCGCCAAATCCATCAGACTTTCCTACATCTGTTCCACATAACACATCTCGGGAAGTGCTGCCACAGTAGCATACTTGAGGACACAATTTCAAAAACAAAGGTTAGTAAACTGTATGGGTTCTTAAAATATTCCAAACAATCTATAAGAACCTAGCACAAAATGCTATTCATTAGTGATTAGACCTGATGCAGAAATCAGATTAGACCTGATTTCAGAAAAATGTGGCTTCTACAGCAGCTCTAAGGATCAGCTAAGAGGTTTTATCATAGGAAGAAGTAAAAAAGGCCTTGTAAGACTGTCGGTATCCCCTGGTGCCTCTGCAGCACATCCCCAAAACATCATTAAAGTGAAGCAGCCTTCTAAATTAAGAGACTATCTGGCTCATAAGGCCATGGCTGAGAACCATCCACCCTCAGGCTCCCTGGGGTCCTCTGGTTACAGGAGATGGAAGCTAAGCTGGTGACAGTCATGGAGTGAGTGGAGTGAGGACTGGATCCCCACAATCTTCACTCCAACCCAAGCAGCACAGATTTAGTACTTTATATATTGGGGTACACTTAAAATGCTCAGAAAAACTTTCTATTGCTAAAAAGGATTAAGAAAAATCAGCATAATATAAAATCCTTAATAATCTGTATTCTACTACCATTGAATTTGAAGTAATCATGTTTGAGTATTCACACTGAGTAGAAAGCTCAAACTCTTAAGACTTTTATTTGCTAGATAAAGAACCCCATCCAACATCTATAGATCGTCCTGTGGGTTCAAGAAATAATGAGTTCCTTTATTTCTTTTTTTTTTTTTAGTTCCTTCATTTCTTAATATTAGCAAGAAATATGTGTTATATTTAAGGAGTTAGGTTTCTGATGTATTAATATGTAACAAGGTGTGATAAGAATTAATTTTCATCAATTTATATAGTTTTTTCTAAGTGTCACTTTACATTTTCAATTTATAATAAAAAATTTATCTTGTTAAAAATCAATCTGTGCAAATACAGTTGGCCCGCATAATAGATGCAGACCAAAAGAGTAGAAACTAATTGAAATCTTGCAGACTTAATGATGCTCTCCTTCTTTCTCAGTATAACTTAGATATCTACTTGCACAGAAAATCACTATCAAAATAAATGACATCTTAAAATCACATATTAGTAAAAAATAAAATAGAATACTTCTAACTTCAAACATTAGAAATGCTTATAAATAAAACACTGTCGTGAACAGACCAAAAACTTTCAATAAGACACAAGAAGCAGGAAAGTCTCAAATCAATAAAGACCTAGATGCTTGATTTTTAAAATCTACATTCCATCTTCCAGTAAGCACATTTGCAATTTCATCTCCTGTTCTGAAACTGATTCATTCATTCAATAAAGATTTACTGAGTGAATACAGATGTAGGAAATACAACCGATATTATGGAATCAACAAACCCTAGTAACTGGGAATTTCTGCAAGGAGGCTTTTCTTTGTTAAGTTTCTGCTCAGACAGAAGAGAAGTGCTTTTTTTTTGGCGGGGGTATGAGCAGACAGCTGTGAACAAAAGAATTGAGGGTCAGAAATAAACCCACACCCAGGAGCACCTGGGTGGCTCAGTGGGTTAAGCCTCTGCCTTTGGCTCAGGTCATGATCCCGGGGTCCTGGGATCGAGCCCTGCATCAGGCTCTCTGCTCAGCAGGGAGCCTGCTTCCCCCTCTCTCTCTGCCTGCCTCTCTGCCTACTTGTGATCTCTGTCAAATAAATAAATAAAATCTTAAAAAAAAAAAAAAAAAAAGAAAGAAACCCACACCCATATGGTCATTAATCTATGACAAAGGAGGCAAGAATATGCAATGGGGAAGAGTCTTTTCAGTAAATGGTGCTAGAAAAATTTAATAGCTACATGTAAAAGAATGAAACTAGACCATTTTCTTACACCATACACAAAAATATCCTCAGAATGAATTAAAGACATATATGAGAGACCTGAAACCATTAAACTCCTAAAAGTAAACATAGGCAAAATCTCTTGGACACTCCCCTTAGCAACATATTTATGGATATGTCTCCCCAGGAAAGGGAAATAAAAGCAAACATAAACCATTGGGACTACACCAAAATAAGAAGCTCTTACACAGCAAAGGAAACCATCAACAAAACAAAAAGGCAATCTAATGAATAGGAGAAGATAGCTGAAAATGAGATGTTTATGAGGGGTTAATATCCAAAATATATAAAGAATTTATGTAATTCAACACCAAAAACACAAACAATCCAATTAAAAATGGGTCAGAAGCCATACACATTGCTGACAGATATGCAACATCACTCATCATCAGGGAAATGTAAATCAAAACCACAATATCACCTCATGCCAGTCAGAATGCCTAGTATCAGAAAGGTTAGGATGAGGCACCTGGAAGGCTCAGTCTGTTGGGCATCTGTCTTCTGGTCAGGTCATGATCCTGGGATTGAGCCCCACATTGGCTCCCTGGTTACAGGGAGCTTTGCTTCTTCTCCTCCCCGCTCATGCTTTCTCTCTGGCTGTTTCTCTCTCTCTCTCTCTCTCTCTCAAATAAATAAAGAAATAAAATCTTAAAAGGAAAAAAAAAGATAAGGACTAACAAGTGTTGGTGAGAATCTGGAGAAAAAGGAACCCTTGTACACTGCTGGTGGGATTATAAATTGGTACAACTACTGTGGAAAACTGTATGGAGGTTCCTCAAAAAATTAAAAACAGAAATACTGGGCCACCTGGGTGGCTCAGTGGGTTAAGCCTCTGCCTTCGGCTCAGGTCATGGTCTCAGGGTCCTGGGATCGAACCCTACATGCTTCCCCCTCTCTCTGTCTGCCTCTCCGCCCACTTGTGATCACTGTCTGTTAAATAAATAAAAAATATAAAAAAACAAACAAACAACCAGAAATACCATGATCGAGCAATTCTACAAATAGGTTTTTATCCAAAGAAAACAAAAACACTAATTCCAAAGATACATGCACCCTATGCTTGTTGCAGCATTATTTACAACAGCCAAGATATGGAAACAACTCAAGAGTCCAAACAGATGAATGGATGAATATGTGGTATGTATATATATATATATACACACACAATGGAATATTACTTAGCCACAAAAAGAATGAGACTCTGTGGAGAGCCCAGGTGGCTCAGTTGGTTGGGCGACTGCTTTTGGCTAGGTCATGATCCTGGAGGCCCGGGACTGAGTCCTGCATTGGGCTCCCTGGTCAGTGGGGAGTCTACTTCTCTCTCTGACCCTCCCCCCATCATGTCCTCCCTCTCTCAAATAAATAAATAAAATTCTTAAAAAAAAAAAAAAAGAAAAAGAAAAAATAATGAGACCTTGCCATTTGTAACTATATGGATGGACCTAGTGGGTATTGTGCTAAGTGAAGTAAGTCTGATAGAGAAAGGCAAATACCGTATGATTTCACTTTTATGTGGAATCTAAAGAACAAAAACAAATGAACCAACAAGCAAGCAAAAAACCAAAGAGACTCTTAAATACAGAGGACAAACTGGTGGATGCCACAGGGGAAGTGGGCAGGGGGATGGATGAACCAGGTGAAGGGGATTAAAAGGTACTAATTTCCAGTTACAAAATAAGTCATGGGGATGAAAAGGACAGCACAGAGAATATAGTCAATAATACTACTACAATAACGATATATGGTGACAGTCTACACTTATTGTGGTGAGCACTGAGTAATGTATAGAGTTGTCAAATCAATATGCTATACACCTCAAACTAATGTAACACTGTTAATTCAGCTCAGTAAAATACAAAAAATAATCAAGGATCAGAAAATTGTGACAATAAAACCAAAACTGAGCCCCTGATCAATCAGGAAATAATCTGAGTACAACATTAAACCCTGTTATGTATGCCAAGGCACAAGAGACAGCAATATGAGCTGGTGACAGAAGAGCTGGGTGGTCACTGCTGGTTGAAGATTATTAGAGAATCAAAGGCAGTGTGGAAGAAGGTCTCTGCTGCCAGCTTTAGCCTATTCAGCATTTTTGTCAACATATGAATGAACCCCTGGGAGGAATGCTTATTAAATCTCTAGATAAGGCTGAAAGGGATCCTAGAAGAATTACAAATGAAGATAAATAAGTATACTTGTAGCCCTAATAACAGTCTCCTAGATATTTACTGCAGACAAAAAAAAAAGTTTTCAACTGGGTTTGAAAAATCACCTACACAAAAACAAAGGGCAGAGACTGGGATCCATACAAATTCGTACAAAAAAGACCTGGGTGAGTTAGCTGAGAAAAAGCACAATATTCATCAAGAGCTAAATATGGGGGCACCTGGGTGGCTCAGTGCGTTAAGCCTCTGCCTTCAGCTCAGGTCATGATCTCAGGGTCCTGAGATGAAGCCCAACATCGGGCTCTCTGTTAGGCAGGAAGCCTGTTTCCCCCTCTCTCTCTGCCTGCCTCTCTGCCTACTTGTGATCTCTCTCTGTCAAATAAATAAATAAAATCTTAAAAAAAAGTGCTAAATATGGTCCACAAAGGGACTCTCCCACACCATAGTCTATACTGCTAAGACCAAATGGACAGTATATACTTCACTCCTGCCTTATCTCAAATGGATCTGGGGTAGCATATAAGGATATATGAAATATAACAAAGGAATATAAATTTAAAGATGTGAAAAGTAGAACAATGGCAGAGATATAGAGTAAATTATAGCTAAAAAAAGTACACTATAAAGACAAACATTAGGTCTGTTACCCAGGGTTCCCAAGATAAAAAGATCAATCATCTTTGAGGAAGAACACCTAGTCTTGGAACTAAGGCCAGACAGGAATTTCTCCCAAGAGGACCCATAAAGAGGACAGTTAAGTAATATACAGCACAGTTCCTTACACGAAATCCTCATAGTACACAACATAAAACATTTCATAGAGCTGTTACTTATTTTAACGGCCAACATCGATCAACAGCATCACACCAAAGTAAAATTTAATAAAATAAAACTCCATAGGGCACCAATACGTGGTAGCCCACGATCCCTACAGATCAGGGGCTATTGTAAAAACAGAAGAATCACACAGTATGTGTTTCTTTGTGGCTCACTTCTCTCACATAGCATTGCGTTTTGGAGATTCATCCACTTCATAGCATGTATCAATATTACATTCCTTTTCATGGCTGAATAATAATCTGCTTTATGGTTACATTTGTTTATCCATTCATCAGGTGAAAGACATTTTTTTGTCTTGTTTGTTTTAAAGATTTTATTTATTTGAAAGAGTGACAGAGATAATGAGAGAAGAGCATGAGGACAGAGGGAAAGGGAGAAGCAGACTCCCTGCTGAGTAGGGACCTGACATGGGGCTCAATACCAGAACCCCAGGGGTCATGACCTGAGCCAAAGGCAGACACTTCACCCATGGAGCCACCCAGGCGCCCCAGGTGATAGACATCTGAATTGTTTCCACATTTTGATTATGATGAACAGTACTGCTACGCACATGCATTTACAAGTTTTGTACGGACACATACTCCCCTTTCGGTTATATGACTAGGAGTAGAAATGCTGGGTCATATGGTAAAATTCTACATTTAACCTTTTAAGAAACTACCAGACTGTTTTCTAAAGTGGTTATACTATATTACTCTTATTGTGGTTTTAATTTACATTTCCTTAGTATTTAAAGGTTTTAAGCAACTTTCACATATCTATTAGTTATATATATATATATTTTTTATTTTTTAAAATTTTATTTATTTTTTTAAAGATTTTACTTATTTGACAGAGAGAGATCACAAGTAGGCAGAGAGGCAGGCAGAGAGAGAGAGAGAGAGGAGGAAGCAGGCTCCCCACTGAGCAGAGAGCCCTACATGGGACTCGATCCCAGGAACCTGGGATCATGACCTGAGCCGAAGGCAGAGGCTTTAACCCACTGAGCCCCCAAGGCGCCCCTATATGTTTTCTTTTGAGACGTATCTGTTCAAGTCTTTGTTCATTGTTTAAGTTGTTCCTATTTTTTTTTTAAGATTTTTTATTTATTTATTTGACAGAGAGAGATCACAAGTAGACAGAGAGGCAGGCAGAGAGAGAGAGAGAGAGGGAGGGAAGCAGGCTCCCTGCTGAGCGGAGAGCCCGACGCGGGGCTCGATCCCAGGACTCTGAGATCATGACCTGAGCCGAAGGCAGCGGCTTAACCCACTGAGCCACCCAGGCGCCCCTGTTCCTATTTTTTTTTGTTGTTTCATAGGAGTAATGGGATCTGCAAGTAATCTGTTCATTTTGTTAATGGTATCTTTTGAGGAATAGAAATTTTAAATTTTGATTAAAGCTCAATGTATCGGGATCCCTGGATGGCTCAGTCATTAAGCATCTGCCTTCAGCTCAGGTCATAATCCCAGGGTCCTGGGATCAAGCATCACATCAGGCTCCTTGCTCAGCGGGAAGCCTGCTTCTCCCTCTCCCACTCCCCTACTTATCTTCCCTCTTTTGCTGTCTCTCTCCATCAAATAAAATTTCTTTTATGGTTAGTATTTTTGTTTCTCTGTCCAAGAAATCTTTACCTAACCCCAAAGTTGTGAAAATATTCTTATAGTTTATTCTGGAAGCTTTGTGTTTCTGGGTTTTTACATTTAAGTCTGTGATCCACGTAGAATTCATTTTTGTGTAAAGAATAAGACAGAGGTTGAGGGTTTTTTTCTGTTTGTTTTTAGTTATTTAATTGACAGAGAGACAGACAGTGAGAGAGGGAACACAAGCAGGGGGGAGTGGGAAAGGGAGAAACAGGCTTCCCGCCAAGCAGGCAGCCCAATGTGGGGCTTGATCCCAGTACCCTGGGATCGTGACATGACCTGAGCTGAAGGTAGATGCTTAAAGACTTAACCACCCAGGCACCCCAAGAGGTTTGTTTTTTCTTATGTATACATCCAGTTGTTCTAGCAACATCTGTAAAAAGACTCTCCTTTTCCCACTGAATTAACATTGTGGTTGAAAATCAACTGACTATACATATGTGGGTCTATTTCTGGACTTTATTTTCTTCCATTTATCTAGTGAGATACCAATAACACCAATAACTGCACTGTCATGATTACTGTAACTTTATAATTCTTGAAATCAGATAGTTTAAGTCTTTCAACTTCATTCTTTCTCAAGACTTTTTTGGCCTTTCTAGATCCTTTTTTCTTCTTTTTCTTTTTTTAAAGTAGGCTTCATGCCCACTATGGAGCCTAACATGGGCTCTCTCTCAACCCTGAGATCAAGACCTGAGCTGAGATCAACACTAGGGGCGCCTGGGTGGCTCAGTCGTTAAGCGTCTACCTTTGGCTTAGGTCATGAACCCAGGGTCCTGGGATTGAGCCCCATGCTGGGCTCCCTGCTAGGTGGAAAGCCTGCTTCTCCCTCATCCACTCCCCCTGCTTGTGTTCCCTCTCTTGCTGTCAAATAAATAAAATCTTAAAAACAAACAAAAAAGAGTCAAACACTAAACCAATTGAGCTACCCAGGCACCCCTCTAGATCCTTTTCAAGAAGTTTCTTTTTAAAATAATTTCCCAAACACTTACTTTTATTTTTATTTTTTTAGATTTTTTTTAAAGATTTTATTTATTTATTTGACAGAGATCACAAGTAGGCAGAGAGGCAAGGCAGAGAGAGAGGAGGAAGCAGGCTCCCCCACAGAGTGGAGAGCCCGATGTGGGGCTCGATCCCAGGATCCTGGGATCATGACCTGAGCTGAAGGCAGAGGCTTTAACCCATTGAGCCACCTAGACGCCCCTATTTTTATTTTTAAGATTTTATTTATTTATTTGACACACAGAGAGAGATCACAAGGAGGCAGAGCAGCAGGCAGAGAGAGAGAGAGAGAGGGAAACAGGCTCCCTGCTGAGCAGAGAGCCTGATGCGGGGCTCGATCCCAGGACCCTGGGACCATGACCTGAGCTGAAGGCAGAGGCTTAACCCTCCGAGCCACCCAGGCACCTCCCCCAAACACTTACTTTTAAACAGCATTTCAAAATCTACTGTCCAAATTCCATAGGACAAAGGCCTATACTGGTATTATGAAACTAAACACTGAACTTAAACAATACAACTAAACACTGAAACCATCTAAGCATTAATGTATCTCCACTTTTCTCCACCCAGGGTACAGTACTACTAGAGGCCTTGTAACTATAGGCTTGAGGCCAATCTATGTCATCAAGAAAACTATAAATAAGGTTCTAGAAAATACACAAATATCGCTGGCTAGTGTGCCCACCACTTACCCTGGTTCAATATGATCCGACAAGGCTGGCATTGACCCCCATGGCACAGCTCAGCACAGTGGTGCTGACCACAATTCAAAAGATTCTCACATGGATTGGAACAGTGGACTGAGGCGGCCTGACCACAGCGAACTGTGTGCCTGGAAAGAAAACAGATGTACAGACAGTGTTGGTCTGATGCTGGACAAGTTTCTACTGGATAGCTAAACTAACAATGAAGCCCAAAGTTTACCTCCCAAAACTATGAAACCTTTCTCTTGACCCCATTTCCCTCACTTTTCTGTTTACCTCCTTTAATCTTTATTTCCTTAATAACTCTTCTCCCCTCCACTCTTTCTTCTTCTGCTTTGCTTTCCTTATTTCCCATCCTGACTTTCTCTCTCCCTATATTCTGACCAGTGAAGAAATGAAGTTCCTCTCTGTAGATTTCTTCACTGAGTTCCCATGAAGTAGCATACAGGAGGGGAAAGAGCCGGGAGCTCCCACAGTATCTTATAGATGGAAGTAGGAAAGCTGGGGGCGGGATGGAGTGGTGAAGGGTTAGTTTTAATGTATACACTAAGACTGGAAGTACAATGGCATTCTCCTGGGCTTTGGTACTCCAGCATTTTGTGTAGTTATAATACTTAAGAACTATACCGTATATGACTTTGATTCAGGATGGGAAAATCATTCTGGCTTTGTTCCAATAAGCGTCCTAATTTAATTTTGCTGACTTATTGGCTAGAGAAGGATTTTTGGACAACTATCTTCAGGTTTCTTTCCAAGGTAGTGGTTTAGAGCTTGGAGTCTACTCTCCTACAAGAAGAGTTTTATTCTATCCCCTACTTTCATCTCAACTACGTATTTTGTTTTAAAAAGTCATTGTTACATACACAGATGATGTTTCCAGTGCTCAGCATCATGGCTAACATCAACCCCTGGAGGTGTACACTATTATTTCTATTCTGTGATTAAAAAAATGAGGCTTAGGCGCCTGGTTGGCTCCATGGGTTGAGCGTCTGCCTTCGGCTCAGGTCATGATCTTGGGGTCCTGGGATCGAGCCCCGCATTGGGCTCTCTGCTCAGTGGAGAGCCTGCTTCTCCCTCTCTCTCTGCCTCTCTGCCTACTTGTGATTTCTCTCTCTCTCTGTAAATAAGTAAATATAATCTTTTTAAAAAAAAAAAAGAAAGAAAGAAAAAATGAGGCTCAGTGAGACTAAGCAACTTGCCCAGGTCAACAGCTAATTAGTGGCACAGCCCAGATACAACCTGGTCTTTCTGACCCAGAGCCCTTACATGTGACTCTCAGGCCACACTACTACCCTTGTAAGTTCAGACAAATGTGATTCACTGATAATTGGCTGAATCCCATTTTGTCTTGTGGTTCAGAAATCGTATGGGTCTTACTGGGCCTCAGAAACATTCCATAACTATCAGTGATCCTTGCCCTGATGACGGAGAACTTGTATTATAACAAAAAGAGGATGGGCTCTGGGGTTACTTATTCGTTCATTCAACAATATTCATAGAAAACCTCGTTGGTGCCAGATATAATGCTAGGTACAAGTAAATGGTCCCTGTCTCCTGAACCTTAATAGGTCTGGATTTATTGTTTTATTATTATTATTATTTTTAAAGATTTTATTTATTTATTTGACAGAGAGAGAGAGAGAGAGGTCACAAGTAAGCAGAGAGGCAGGCAGAGAGAGAGGGGGAAGCAGGCTCCCTGCTGAGCAAAGAGCCTGCTGTGGGCCTTGATCCCAGGACCCTAAAATCATGACCTTAGCCGAAGGCAGAGGCTTAACCCACTGAGCCACCCAGACGCCCAACAGGTCTGGGTTTAATCCTGATTCTTTCATCCACAGACAAATTGAGAAAAAAGTTCCTGTCATCTTGGCATTCAACTGAAATGGGTAATCTCACTATGCAAATAACTTCTTAATCACCTATAAGACTGCAAAGAACTAGGGCAGCAGAGTAAACTAATATTTACAAAAAAGTACTATTTAAGAGTGTGTATGTGGCTCAGATGGTTGGGCGTCTGTCTTTGGCTTGGGTTGTGATCTCTAGGTCCTGGGATTGAGTCCCATGTCAAGTTCCCAGCTCAGTTGGGAGTCTGCTTCTCCCTATCCCTCTGCCTCTCCCCAATTGTGCTCTCTCTCTCAAATGAATAAATAAAATCTTAAAAAAAAAAAAGTATTATTTATGCCTTCCACTTATTTATATCTACCTACTAATTCTTACTTTAGAAATTCACACATAAATCATCAATGTGAAAACTGAAGTCTTTAGAGAGCAGTTCTAACTTTACCTGGTTCGTCCACATTCGCATGTTTTAGTCATAAAGGCAGGGCAGGGTGGGCAAGGTCCAGGATGGCAGAGACTAAAAGAGAAAGGCTTAGATTAGTAAATCATACTCATGTATCCAAACCTGAACAAAGTTGCTCCTACTGGGTCTTCTTGGGAATGTGCCAACAAATAAACCTACCATGAATGTTTTAGTATTTGCCTAAAGTTGATTAAGCTATTTAAATGGAAATATCAGGGGTGCCTGGGTGGCTCAGTGGGTTAAAGCTTCTGCCTTTGGCTCAGGTCATGATCTCAGGGTCCTGGGATCGAGCCCCACATCGGGCTCTCTCCTCCTCAGAGAGCCTACTTCCTCCCTCTCTCTCTGCCTGCCTCTCTGCCTACTGGTGATCTCTGTCTGTCAAATAAATAAATAAAAAAATCTTTAAAAATAAATAAAATAAATGGAAATATCAACAATGTTTTCATATAGGAAGAATTGGTGGCATTATCTTCTTAGAATATTTAACCAGGGGGTGCCTGGTGGGTTAAGCCTCTGCCTTCAGCTCAGGTCATGATCTCAGGGTCCTGGGATCGAGGCCCGCATTGGGCTCTCTGCTCAGTGGTGAGCCTGCTTCCCCCTCCGGCCTTGGCCTGCTTCTCTGCCTACTTGTGATCTCTCTGTGTCAAATAAATAAATAAAATCTTAAAAAAAAAAAAAAAAGAATATTTAACCAGAAAAATAAAGCCCAAGTCAAAATACTGGTTTTATTTGGTTCTGACATTCAAAGATGACATTTCCAAATATGGTCTTAGCCCATTTAGTGAGATGTTTTAGGGCCTCCTTTCCCTTCAGACATGGTGTTGACCACCTAATCTGCGTAACTTTAGATGTTCTCTGGTAGTCATGACAGTAGGCCATTTCTGCAAAAGAGTTCAGAAAGAGGGTTCATGCACAGGGATAATTTATTATTGAATACACCTAAAATGCCAACTGAAGGAAGGAACAGTTTAAACAGATGAGTCCCTGGGTTTTAAGGAAGGACCCATGGAAGGAGTAAAAGAGCAGGCAGCAGGCCAGGCTGTGTAACCCTGTCTGGGCAGCTCTCCTATCACAGGCAATTCCCTAGCACCTCCCCCACATCCTGACCCACAAGGCCTCTGGCCCAACATTTAACCCTCCTCTGAGCAGCAGAAGCACCAAGGTAACACTTTGACGTCTGTTTTACTTTTAGATTTGGGTAATAAAAACAAGTTACCATTACTTGACCATTTACCATATGCCAGATTCTGTACCAAGTCTCTTAGATGCATTAATTGAATATTCACAGAACTCTGTAAGTACTGATGCTCATATCATTATTATTTTACAGATGCAGAAAGTGAGGCTTAGAGAAGTGAAGTAACTAGCCCAAGGCCACACAACTGTTAAGTGACTTGACCCCAGGAGTTAAATATTGGTCTGAAGTCAAAGCTGTAGAAATTTGTCCTTTGTAATTAATCAATTGTTAGTATTGGGTATTCCTCTTCTTATTTAGAAGCTGACTACATACACTGTAAAGCTGGCTATTTATTGGATAGAAGGGATTCACGACCTAAAAACAGTGTGCAATAGGACCCTACACAATTGCCTTTTCAGGACAGAAGTCTGTCCTATTCCCTCTTTTGAACCTGGATATCACTGAGGGATATATCTTCTTAAAAGCCAGCAGTATAGTGCCATGGAAATCCCGTCTCCACCATGTCCTAGCACTATGACTTTGGGCAAGATACTTGGCCTTTCTGAGCCTCATCGGTAAAATGGAGATGATAAATATTTATACATAACCAGGGTGTTGTAAGGATTCAATGAGTTAACTTTTTTTTTTTTTAAAGATTTTATTTATTTATTTGACAGACAGAGATCACTAGTAGGCAGAGAAGCAGGCAGAGAGAGAGGAGGAAGCAGCCTCTGCTGAGCAGAGAGCCCGATGCGGGGCTCGATCCCAGGACCCGGGGATCATGACCTGAGCAGAAGGCAGAGGCTTTAACCCACTGAGCCACCCAGGCTCCCCTCAATGAGTTAACTCTTACAGAGTGCCTGGCCCAGTGTTAAGTGTTCAGTAAATGGTACCATGCTGCCCTTCACCCCATCCTGCTACACGCTGACCAAAAGATATAGGTACTCAGAGCCACGAGCAAAGTGTATCTACCAGGAATCCCCAGGGGTCTAGTGTTCCAACTTACAGGTTACAGGAATGCGGGCAGTCCTGGCCAGGCTGCTTCTTTCTACAAACCTCACCACAACTATGTGGAATTTCATTTCTGCTCCATTCAGGGTTCTTCACCTTGCCTAAAATATATCAGATCAGAGAGTTAATGGTATAAACTTCAACTGCATCTTAGACTTTAATGAAACAACACAATATAGCTAGACAGCATGAACTTCAGTGTGGTTTTCATTAGTGTGACAAACATATCACCCCACATCCTAAAATAAAAAGATGACTGTAATGCAACTCATCAAAAGCTTCACTGAAAACAAAAAACAAAAACCAAAAGCTTCACTGAGTATGATAAATCCTAAATTCTGAAATACCTGGAAAAGAGAAATAAGTCATCTTTACTTTGACTAACTTTGACTAACAGACATATTTAATCTAAAACAAAAAACCCCACAACTTTTGTAAATGGACCCGTGAACAGATAAGGGGACATCTGCCATAAGGATCTGAGAGAAGAAATAAGGGAAAAAAAAAAAAAAGAAGAAAGAAGAAATAAGGGAAGAGAACAATGGGGTGGGAGATGGGGCAGCACTAAGAGATGGAAAGGACAAAAATCCCCCATACAGTAGGAACTTGCCAAATCTAAAGCTATGAAGTAGGCATAAGAGGGCTATAATTTTATAATTAGTGTGTATCTGGAAATCTTTTTTTTTTTAAAGATTTTATTTATTTATTTGGCAGAGAGAGACAGAGATCACAAGTAGCAGAGAGGCAGAGAGAGGGAAGGGGAAAGCAGGCTCCCTGCTGAGCAGAGAGCCTGACGCGGGGCTCGATCCCAGGACTCTGGGACCATGACCGGAGCCGAAGGCAGACACTCAACCGACTGAGCCACCCAGGCGCCCCGTGTATCTGGAAATCTTTAGTGACTTCTATGAACTTAGCACAGAGGCAGAAAGTGTAAAACTGAGGCACGGGACTCCTCCATGCCCTTGAGGAACTCATCTTTACTTGGGCAATTTACACCCAAATGATGGCCTGTCCCCAATTTTGGCCTCTGCTGCTCTATCTTGTTTCTTTTTCAGAAGCTTTATTCATGTTGAGAGGTTTGTTATACCTAAAGGCCTATGAGTCCCAAATCTACATTTTTTTTCTTTTTCCTTTTACCCCCCCCAAATCTACACTTTCTGCACTGCCCTGAATCCTCAGTTCCGGCCCTCTCTGTCCAAACATCTGCTGAACATCTCTGTGTGAGGTATCACAGTCACCCCAATCTGTCTACATTTACAGTCAAAGTTAGTATCTTCTCTCTGAAGCCCCTCCCTCTTCAGTGTTCTCTATTTCTGTCAGCAATACCATCACTGTTAGAGTCACAGACTTAAAAACTAGAGTCATCCCCAACTCCTCTTTTTCTTTCCATAATCTACTTAATCACCAAATTTTCTTAATTTCCCTACACAGTGTATCTCACACCTCATCTCCCTTGCTACTTTTACTCTTGTCTATTTGCCAGACTCATCTCCAGTCTATTACAAAAACTTCCCTACGGGGCGCCTGGGTGGCTCAGTGTGCTAATAAGCCTCTGCCTTCGGCTCAGGTCATGATCTCAGGGTCCTGGGATTGAGTCCCTCATCGGGCTCTCTGCTCATCAGGGAGCCTGCTTCCTCCTCTCTCTCTCTGCCTACTTGTGATCTCTGTCAAACAAATTAGTAAAATCTTAAAAAAAGAAAAAGAAAAAGAAAAACTTCCCTGCTTCTGTGCTTTCTTGCTTTAATACAGTGCCCTGGTTTCCCCCTACCATCTTTCAATGGCTCTACCTCTTTTCCCTGACTCTAAATGATGTTTTGTTTTTCTTCTTTCTGCCAGGGTTCTGCATTAGGCTCTTTTCACTCCTTACCCTTCTATCCACTACTCTCAACAACAACTATCATCCCTAAGTCCTTATCTCTCTTTAAATATTCCTAACTCCCAAGGAACCTGGGTGGCTCAGTCAGTTAAGTGTCTGCCTTCAGCTGGGGTCATGATCTCAGGGTCTTGGGATCAAGCCCCGTATCAAGCTCCCTGCTTAGTGGGGAGTCTGCTTCTCTTTCTCCATCTGCTTCTCCCCCAGCTCATGCTTTCTCTCTCAAGAAGTAAAAAAAAAAAAAAAAAAAAAAAAAAAAAATCTTTAAATTTTCCTAACACCACCTCTTATTGGAGGCCTTGTTCACTCATCCCATTCAATGTTTATAAATTGAACTCACTGTCCCCGTCAGTCCTGGTGCTCTGACCTGCCTTTTTCTGTCCTTGGTATCATCATTTTCAAAAGCATGAAACTTTGGAGACACATTTGGGTTCTTCCCTTTCCCACTGTTATTAATTCCTATTTACCTTTGAAATCTGGTACCCCCTTCCTTTTTCTCCCACTCTAATACCCATTATAGACTTTTATTATTTTTCACCTGGGTTCTTACAAAATCCCCAATGTTTAGGCCCCCAAACACTCTATTCCCTCCCACCAGACTAATCTTTATAAAAAATCACACTGACATCCTCAGTGGCTTCCCACAGCCTGCCAAATGAAGTCCCTGCATCTAAGCCTGGAATCAAGAAGTCAGCCCCCTGGGGCGCCAGGGTGGCTCGGTTGGTTAACCATCTGACTCTTGATTTCGGCTCAGTATAGTTATAACCTGAGGGTTTTAAGATCCAGCCCCACAATGGACTCTGTGCTGGGTGTAGAGTCTGCTTAAGATTCTCTCTTTCCCTCTGTTTCTGCCACCCTGCTGCCCTTGTATGCACACACAGGATCTCTCTTTCTCTCCCAAAAAACAAAACAAAACAAACAAACAAAAAACCAGTCAGCTCTGCCTTTCTAGTCATTTCCCATGCCTTCACCTTTACAGATCCTGGGTTCCATAACCAATGACTCTCGTTCTCCTAAAAGATCCTAAGCCTTCCTATTTTTAAACTTCTGCTTATGCTACTCACCTCAACAAATCTTTCTCCTACCAAGATTTTACCTAGTTTTCAAGCTCAGTTGAATTGTACCTCCTTTTTTAAGGACTCCCTAAATCATCTATCCCAAAGTGAGAATTCACCCCAAAGATCTCCCACAGTTCTTTGGACTTACAGAGTATCAAGTTAATTGTGTCTTAGCTCTTAGACTGTAAACTCTGGGAAGTCAAAAGCAGTTTTATTCCCCTGTTTCTTCATGATGTCTGCTACTAAGTTCTCAATAAAGTATATTATATTAATGGTTTCCCCAAAGAGCAAAGTGACGCAAAGTCATTAGGTAAATATAAGACCATTATTTGCATTCCTACACCATTTTACCTTACTCAGATCATCTTGACCTTCAGCTCTCATCTTCTACCTTCTTAAGGCCTCATATCTAATTTGTCAGTGAAGGCTCTAACAAGATTTTTAATTCCAGTGTGGTGCTTTTATGTTTAAAAATCCTTTAAAATAAGGTAATTAAGCCTTGGTATTGGTCCAATTTGTATAGATTTACATGGATTTCTTGCTCCCAGCTTCATGTTGCCTTTCTAACAGTACATTCCAAAATACTCATCCCTTCAACAAATATTATTTTAGTATCTTTTAAGGCTCAGATTTTGGCAATAAAAGATCAGATTTATTTGGCAATAAAAGATCAGACATAAAAGATCAGCAAATTCCAAATAAAAGAGTGGCCAAAGTGGGAGAGGGGATAAGAAAGGGAGGCTTCCTTTGGAAAACAATGTTTGGGGTCTGATATTGAACGGATGAGTCAGTGATGGAGATTTAAAGATGGGAAAGAACATTCTAGATAGTTGAGTTCACCAAGAGACTGAGTCTAGAAGTTGAAGACTTCATGACCAACTTTTAGTGAAATGCTAGTTAAGTAATGGGAAAGAAGAAATAGGAGCAAATTAAAGCTTACAGAAATAAACAGGAAGAGCTAGTCATTTCAAGAAAGGAATGGCTAAAAGCTCCAAGAGCTACTGTGCTGCCAAAAAGGTTAAGAACTTATAAATCAGCCCTGGATTTGTCAGGAAGGAGCCACTGATGATTTCTGAAAACAGGTGCAGCAAGGTGAGGAGGACAGAAGCAAAAATGCAATGGTCAAGAAGGGTGACAGATGGTTAAGAAGCAAAATTTGAAAAAAATCAAGAACTATATGAAGGTTAGCCATTAAAAGGCAGGAAAGAAAAACAAATACACGTAAAAGAAAAGACATGCAGAAAACAGACTAGCAGCAAGAATGGGCATCTAGACTGCAGAAAGTTCTCCCTAACACAGGGCAGTTGAATTATTCAAAAACGGGAAGAAGTATTCCATAAAGAGGGAGGATAGAGTTTGTAATGTAAAAATGTAAAAAGAAAATTTTTCTTTATTTTAAAGACCCCAATGACTGATTTTCCAGGTTAAAATATTTTTCAACACCACTCTTTCCTCATACTGCTCAAATCTGGAGTATCAAAACTATTACAGTTAAGGGTGAGAAAGAGCCCATGTCTAAGCCTGCCTCCACCATCTGGTCAGCTCTGGTCTAAAGGTAAGATCAAGGAGACCAGAACCACAGTTCAGAAGTTGCATTAGCCTGGTGGGCATGATGAGAAGGCCAGGTCCAGAACAGCTTGCCAAGAGCACAAAGGCCTGTGACTCTGGCTGTGTGATGGACCACAGGCAGATGATGTCGGTAGACTCCTGAACTTTTAAGTCTTATTAGGAACTTCTAAAACATGCCTGGCATATCACTTCTTCTGGGCTGGAAAATGAGTTACAATGTATGAAGTGGAAGAGACTGAAGTGAAAGCAAAAAACTCACCACAGAAACAAGTGTAAGTATTAGGAACATGTGCAGAAACATTCTGACAGGCAGGACATCTCCAACCACTTTGGCCATCTGTCAAGAAAGACAAGAGGAAACCACAATAATTTCCTTACAAAAGCACATGTAATTTTTAAAAATTTAAACCTAAAAGAAGCCTTAATATTTAAGCAACAGTAGTCATTTTATGTTAAAAATATCAGATATTAAGGATATCAGGATTTTTTTTTTTTTAAAGATTTTAGTTATTTATTTGACAGACAGAGATCACAAGTAGGCAGAAAGCAAGCACAGAGAGAGAGAGAGGGAAGCAGGCTCCCCACTGAGTGGAGAGCTCAATGCAGGGCTCAATCCCAGGACCCTGAGATCATGACCTGAGCTGAAGGCAGAGGCTTAACCCACTGAGCCACCCAAGCACCCCAAGGATATCAGGATATTAAGAAACAAATTCACAATACTGAATGCTCTGCTTAAATATTACATTTGGGCTTATATTTATAAGGGCTTTAAATATAGTAATCAAACAGGTACCCATTTTTTAAATGTCAGTTGAGATATAATTGACATATAACACTAAGGTGTACAACATGCTGGCTTGATACATTTATATACTATAATAAGATTATCACAGTCACTTTAGCTAACACCTCAATCACCTCACATGATTATCAATTTATTATGTGGTTCTACTACTGAGATAAACACTGAACTAAATCTTGGCTTGAAAAAACAAAAGGATAAAATATTTGAGTGAAGGGGTGCTTGGATGGCTCAGTGGGTTAAAGCCTCTGCCTTCGGCTCAGATCATGATCCCAGGGTCCTGGGATTGAGCCCCGCATCGGGCTCCCTGCTCCTCGAACAGCCTGCTTCCTCCTCTCTCTCTGCCTGCCTCTCTGCCTACTTGTGATCTCTGTCAAATAAATAAATAAAATCTTCCAAAAAAATAATTTGAGTACATTCAGGAAAACCCAAATGTCTTCTTTTTTTAAGACTTTAAGTCATCTCTACACCCAACACAGGGCTCAAACCCACAACTCTGAGATCAAGAGTTGTATGCTCTACCGACTGAGCCAGCCAGGTGCCCTCAGATGTTTTAAATTAGAAGAGTCACAGATCAGAAAACAAATGTTATTTTTTCTTAAAAGGAAATTTTAAAAGATTTTATTTATTTATTTAAAAAGCTTTTATTATTCACTAGAGAGAGAGTGTGTGTGCAGGAGCAAGCAGAGAGGCAGTCGGAGAGGAACAAGCAGACTCCTGGCTAAGCGGAGTGCCTACGGCAGGGCAACATTCCAGGATCCTGAGATCATGACCCCAGCCAAAATCTGAGGTTTAACAGAATGCGCTACCCAAGTGCCCCTATTTTATTTATTTTAGAGAAAGAGAGAGAGCATGAGGGGCTGGGGGCAGAGGAGGCGGGAGGAAACACAAAGGGGGCCAAAGTGGCAGAGAGATAATCTTTCATCCAGACTCCACACTGAGCACAGAGGCTCAGCTCTTCAGGGCTCAGATCTCATAACCCATGAGATCATGACCTGAGCCGAAATCACAAGTTGCCTGTTTAACCAAATGAGTTGACCAGGCGCCCCAGCCACTGCTTTCTATAAATTTCGAAAGCAAGCTATACAGGAAATGTTTTCTGTAATTGATACCTGGATAAAAGTTACCATTTTCAATAAATGTGACTGATTTTTTTGTATTCCAAATATACTTTGGTATTGTTAGGTTAAGCTGTTTTTCAAAATTTCCTTCTTTAGGGGTGCCTGGGTGGCTCAGTTGGTTGGGCAACTGCCTTCAGCTCGGATCATGATCCTGGAGTCTCGGGACTGAGTCCCACACTGGACTCCCTGCTCAGCAGGGAGTCTGCTTCTCCCTCCGACCTCTCCCCTCTCATGCTCTCTCATTCCCTCTCTCAAATAAATAAAATCTTAAATAAATAAATACATAGATACATAAATTTCTTTCTTTAAAAAATTTTATTTTGGGGTGCCCGGGTGGCTCAGTTGGTTAAGCGACTGCCTTTGGCTCAGGTCATGATCCTGGAGTCCTAGGATCGAGTCCCACATCAGGCTCCCTGCTCGGCAGGGAGTCTGCTTCTACCTCTGACCCTCCCTCTTCCCATGTTCTCTTTCTCGTGCAAATAAATAAAACCTTAAAAAAATTTTATTTTATTTTATTTTCACTTTTTAAGCTCTATGCTCAACATGGGGCTTGAACTCACACCACTGAGATGAAGAGTTACATGCTCTACCAACCGAGCCAATCAGGTGCCCCTTAGTTCTTTATTTAATATCTACAGCTTCATACTAGTCATCTGAAACATGTGTTCAAGGAAACAGAGCAGATAAAATATTCAAGAGGAATTAGTTATTTTTATTATTCTTAAAGATTTTATTTATTTATTTGACAGAGAGAGACACAGTGAGGGAAGGAACACAAGCAGGGGGAGTGGGAGAAGGAGAAGCAGGCTTCCTGCTGAGCCGGGAACCCGATGTGGGGCTTGATCCCAGGACACTGCGATCATGATCTGAGCTGAAGGCAGACACTTAATGACTGAGCCACCCAGGCACCCCAAGGAATTAGTTATTTTTAAATCTAAGTTTAAGGGGTGCCTGGATGGCTCAGTCAGTGGAACACGTGACTTGATCTCAAGGTTGTAAGTTGGAGCCCCACGTTGGGTATATTTAAAAATAAAATCTTAGGGATGTCTGGGTGGCTCAGTTGGTTAAGCATCTGCCTTTGGCTCAGGTCATGATCCCAGAGCCCTCGGATTAAGTCCCACATTGGGCTCTTTGCTCAGCTGGGAGCCTGCTTCTCCCTCTGCCTGCCACTCCCCCTGCTTGTGCATGCGTCCTCTCTCTCTGACAAATAAAAAGAAATAAAAGAAATAAAATAAAATCTTTAAAAAAAAAGCTAAGTTTAAAACCTGAACATATCAAATGAGTGAGAATAACTATTCAGAAGAGAAAAACAACTGACCTGCTTGAGATGCTGGAGACCTTGCCCATTTCTTTATGCAGTTCAAATGAAACACATGATAACAGCTCTGACAACTCCACACTGGCGCTGTGACACGAACCAATTCACAGCACACCATGCACTCATATTTTTCTGTAGTTAGCTGTTCAATTAGAGAACCTGTTTAAAAACAAACAAACAAACAAACAAATTAATTCAAACACAGAAAAACATTCCTTACTTTAGTCAGCCAAGGATCAGCAAGGCATTTAAGGGAAATCTCCAAACACAAAGGTTTTAAGTATGTCTGATTCTGAGTAAGGTGGCTGTTCAGTGTTTGGGGCGAAGAAGAACAGGAGTATGCTGAGGAAGAAGACTTAGGAAGTGGACATTCAGGTGGGGATTTGCACAACTGAGGAAACAGTCCCAGGAAACTGCCCAGGAATTGCCCAGAATAGCCAAATGCCCCTTATAACACAGCAAGTTGCTTTTGTTCCTCAGAAGCAACAACTATAGCACCTTGTCCTACCTCCTATGAATCTGATCCAGATCCATGAAGTCAGGCTGGGAAAAAGCTCACGAAACTGCAGTGGTCAACCGAAAGAAACCTAAGCCTTGATAGGTTCCAACCACCCAGGGTAGTAACCTCTTTTCTAGTAGTTGCCATGAAAGTCTCATCTCAAAAAAAAAAAAAAAAAAAAAAAAAAAGTCTCATCTCTTCTAGTAGTTTCCATGGAAGTCTTCAGTTGATCTACTCAAAAAAGATGTTCTTGGTGTTTACCATAATGCCATGGTAGGGTTACTAGACTGAAGGAGACACAAACCCTGGTTCCAGAAGCCCAGCATCTGGTGAAGGAGATCAGCATCATTAGGAAACCTCCCAGGTGGATTCCTTAATACCTTCGCTGACTTCCAGATTTTTCCTCAAACACGATCTCAGCAAAGCCTTTTTAGATCCGAAGTAGAGTTAGGTACTATCAGATATGTGTGTGTGTGTGTGTGTGTGTGTGTGTGTTAAAGAGAGAGAGAGAGAATTTCTTCTGAGCAGGGAGCCTGACATGGGGCTCAATCCCAGGACCCCAAAATTATGACCCGAGCTAAAGGCAGACGCTTAATTTACTGAGCGACCCAGGCGCCTCTTTCAGTCTATACTTACAGCATTTATTTCATAATACTATTTTATTTGTTATTGGGTCCAAATAGGTTTTAAGAATAAACTAACCTTAAATACATCATGCCAAGTGCTGTGCTTATGCACTTTACATATATTTAATTTTCGTAACAAGGCTGTAATATAGGTACCATTTTATAGATGAAGAAACTGAGGCTCAAAGTAGTTCAATCACTTACCTAAGGTCACAAAGCTCACATTTTAATCATTTTAGAGTATTAGCTTTCGTAAGATTACTTTCTGTTTGTCTAATTTAATGGCAAAAGAAATACAAAACACAAGAACTATAAGGTCTGTGAGACAGGGTCAGGGCCTTGTCTGCCTTGCTCACTATTGTATTTCCAGTGCCTAGCCATTAGCAGGTGCTCAGTAAATATTTATTAAATGAATGGATGAAGAAATAAATGAGTATCAGCTCTCTCCCTTGAAAGTTTCAGGCTTCAGTAGTTTCTATCTATCTATTTATTTATTTGACACAGAGAGAGAGAAGCGGCATGAGAAGGGGGAGTGGCAGAGGGAGGGGGAGGAGCAGGCTTCCTGCTGAGCAGGGAGCCTGATGTGGGACTCGATCCTAAGACTCCAGGATCATGATGGGAGCTGAAGGCAGTCGCTTAACCAACTGAGCCACCCAGGCACCCCAGGCATCAGTAGTTTCTGAGATAGCTCTTTTGTTCCGACAAAAGCCTGGAATAAAGATTTTGTGTGGTTGATAAAGAGAAATCTACTTGCTTCAGGTAAATGATAAACACATCAAAAAACTGAATTATATTGGGGCGTCTGGGTGGCTCTGTGGGTTAAAGCCTCTGCCTTTAACCTCTGGCTCAGCTCATGATCTCAGAGTCCTAGGATCAAGCCCTGAATCTGGCTCTCTGCTCAGCAGGGAGCCTGCTTCCTCCTCTCTCTCTGCCTGCCTCTCTGCCTACTTGTGATCTCTGTCAAATAAATAAATAAAATCTTTAAAAAAGAAAAAAACTGAATTATATAAAAAAAACCAAAGAACCAGACTTAGATTCTTTCTTAAAAGCAGGGACACTCTACCCTGCATTGGTTAACATCTCTGAATAACAAAGTTAATTACATTCCTACCATTTAGTATGCTACATATGAAAGATTCTGAAGGGTAAGTAAGAGAGAGCTCATTAAAGAGTAAGATTATGAGTGAGTCATCTACATACAAGAGCCTGACTGTGCAGAGGAACAATCTGTGAGAATTACATTTGGAATAAATTTTGTAGAAAGTGCCTATTGACTATTCTAGGACAGAACTGAGAAGTGAAGGACACAAAAAAGTAAGTGAGGTTGGGAACATATATGAGAATCCTATGATTGACTGTTGTTTTGATTTTTGCCCTGAAGGTTGTCTTTTTATTTTATTGTTTCTCTTATTCATTAAGTTTATGGTTTGTTTATAAATAATTATTGTTTTAGATGTGATGTTTCTAAATCTAGTCACAGTGAAACTGACCACTAGGATGCACATATATATGGCAAAGTGGGAACAACTGCCAACTTTGAATAACCCACAAAGCTCTACTAAGCCCTCTCCAAAGGCTGTTTCTCTCACATCCCATTTTGAATCTGACAGTAAATCCTGCTAGCACTATCTTCACAATTCATCCAGAATCCAACCCCTGCTGCTATTACTATGGCCCAAGCCACTACCTATTCACCTGGATTATTAAAATGGCCTCCTAACTAGTCTTCCTACTTCTGCCCTTGCCCTACTTCAGTCTATTCTCACCACAGCAGCCAGAGGAAGACTGTTAAAATGCAAATTAGATAATGCCACTCAAGTCCAGAACTTGCCAATGGTTCTGACTTCACACGTTTGTAAAAGCCAAAGTCCTCACAATGGCTTTTATCACTTCCGGTCCCCACCTGCTATTTCTCTTTCCCTAAGTCACTACTCTAAGAACACAATGGCCTCCTTCCTGGTCCCAGACTAGCAGGCAGATTTCTGTGTGAGGGTCTTTATAACTTGTTGCTCCCTCTGCCCAATACTACTCCCTAGACATTGGCATAGCTCAGTCCCTTACCATCTTCAGGTGTTTACTCAAAATGTGATCTTCTCAATGAGAAGACTGGCCTTGGCCATATTTTAAAAAATTGCAACCCGCTCCCTCATCATTCCCTATCACTTTCCCATACTGTATTTTCCTCCACACCACTTGAATCTTATAGATCATTTATTTTCTCCACACCACTTATATATCCTGTCTTTTATAGCATATATTTTACTTTTTTCATCTTATTTCCTAACTCTATACATAGAATGTACACTCTCTCTCTCTCTCTTTTTTTTTTTTTTAAGAATGTACACTCCTTGATGGCTGAGGTTTTTACCTACTGTTGGTTGGGACATAGTGGGTACTCAATGATACTTGTATGAATGAATGAATGAAAAGAAATAAAAATATAGCAAAAGTTTCCAGAAGACCTAGGAAGAGAAACAATATAATCCTTTCACCAATAATACTTCAGTTTTATCAAAACATGTGTAACACATGTAAAATATGGTACTGTCCCAGAATAGCTCTGTCCTGGTAAACTATCACATTTCAGGCCCAAGACACTTGTCTGCTGGCTGCCAGCCCTTGCCTGACCACTGGCTTTTCTTCAATCTTAAATTCTCTTCGATTAGGGTTTCTCCATAATTACTCAGTCACAACAATGTCTACTCTATACTTCTACTTTGAAAGCATGTCAGTAAAGAGGGTGATGTGCCCACTGAAATAATCAGAAGAGAACGGAGTGAAGTGTTAACTGACTACAGACTTCTCAGATGTACCAATAAATAACTGTTAAAAAAAACCCAAAAGAAATTCTGCTTTGAAGAATCAAAGAGAACACTGTGATTAAGTAAAAAAAAAAAAGAAAAAAAAAAGAAAAAGAAAGAGCCATTAAAAAAAAACAGATGTACACTAAAACTAATCTGATATCTGGAATTTAGTTTAAAATCAGCAAAAATAAAAAATAGATAAAAAATGGGAGACTGGGGGGGTGCCTGGGTGGCTCAATCGGTTGAGTGGCTACCTTCGGCTCGTGTCAGGATCCCAGGGTCCTGGGATCAAGCCCCGCATTAGGCTCCCTGCTTAGCGGGGAGCCTGCTTCTCCTTCTCCCTCTGCCTGCCACTCTGCCTATTTGTGCTCTGCCTCTCTGTCAACTAAATAAATAAAATCTTTAAAAAAAAAAAAAGGGGAGATTGTTCAAATATTAATGCTTATCTATTTTTATTGCATATTATATGTTTAGAACAAAGTGTAAGGATTTCTTAATGAGCAGAAAAATATATAACATAAGCAAAAAGATGAACACTGTTTATATTACATGATTTTAACAATGTAAAACTGAGCATTGGAAAATTCTATAAGAAAATAGAACAAAAGGTTAAAGCTGGTTATATCTGGATGGTGGGACTAAAGGTGAGTTACCTACTAAACTGACTTTATTAAGTTACTTCATTTAACGTGAGGCAGCTGTTTTTAAAAAGCTAATACATGGGCTCCATGCTCAGTGCGAAATTTGCTTGAGATTTTTTCTCCCTCTGCCCCTCTTGCCCGTGTGCTCTCTATCTAAAGTATATAAATAATTTTTTTTTTTAAAGATTTTATTGATTTATTTGAGAGACACAGCGAGAGAGAGGGAACACAAGTGGGGGGGAGTGGGAAAGGGAAGCAGGCTTCCCATGGAGCAGGGAGCCTGATGTGGGGCTCGATCCCAGGACTCTGGGATCATGACCTGAGCCAAAGGCAACTGCTTAAGGACTGAACCACCCAGGCACCCCAAGTAAAAAAATAAATCTTAAAAAAAAAAAAAAAAAAAGAAGCTAATACAATATAAACATGGTAAACATGTTCAAGATGGTTATGCTGAGAGACTCCTGGGTGGCTCAGTTGGTTAAGCATCTGCCTTCTGTTCAGGTCACGATTCTGGAGTCCTGGGATCAAGTCCTGCATCTGGCTCCTTGCTCACTAGGGAGCCTGCTTCTCCCTCTGCCTGCCTGTTCTC